AGTGTCTTAACGTAGACATGTCTCCTTGAGCATCATTTCTGATTTGAATGGGTGCAAAAAAATGACACCTAAGTGATGGGGGTGGGAGAGGCAGTGATATGCGTATGGCAGAAAGGAGGCATTTGTAAGGGAAGACAGTTTCCCCCCCCCTGGAGGAGGCTATCTATGCAGATACAGCATGAACCCATCATCCATTTGCTCTCAAACATCTCTTGAGTACATAGCTATGATGTGCCAGGCTCTCTATGAAGCACAGGAAATACAAAGATGTTAAAAAAAAAAAGCCCCACAAAACTCTTTCTTGCCTGGGTAAGCCCACAGCTGTATGGTAGCCACAAACACTTAAACCGAGAACTCTTTCATAAAGTGGCAGGAGCCATGCTGGTGGGATGAAGAGAACCTCTTGGGTGCCACTGAGGGTCACAGTGAGTCTGGGTGAGATGAGGACAGCCCAAGCAAACACCCATTAATCTACCTTCCTCTGCTTTCTAGTTCAGCCTTTACCATTTGCTGGGCAAGCAATTTCTTGGAACTTTCTAAAAACCGCTTCCTTCTTTAAGGCAATTGATATGTTAGGATTTTACACTCCAATTTATGACTTAGATGAATGAGCCACATCCTTGTTTTATGGTTCTTTGTGTACTTGTCCATCTCTCAGGTCAGAATCTCAGCTGGATGGGCATGGGAAGTCTCACTTCTCTTTAGAATCCAGAAGATACATCTGTTTGTCCCACACGACCTTGTACAAAGTAGGTTCTAAAGATCTGTGGATTAGGCCTGGATCAAGAAACCACTGTCATTTCAAGCTAATGAACTGAGAAGAGTTTCTGTTCAAATAAATATTACTGTCCCATTTGACTAGCACTCTAATTTCATATACATTGACTTATCTAATTCCACAACAGTGCTGTGAAGTGCGTTTCAATATCCCCATTTTACAGATGCGGAAACTGATGCTCAGAAACGTGAAGTCACTTGCCCATGGTCCCACAGCTAGTAGGTGGGAGGATTAGTATGTAGAGCCTCTAATAAAAACTCTAACAAGCCTGTTAATGTGAAGAGGGGTCATGTTCTGACCTTAGCTTTGTCCCCTGCGGATGGCTCCTGGGCTGCTGGTTTGCATTCAGGCTCCAGCATAGGGGATGAGTCAGGGATGTCAATCAGACAGGCCTGTGGAACCTGCGCAGAACCAGGCACCACTGTGGGAGGCGGTTCTACATCCACAAAGACGTGATCTGTTGGGGGCTCCTGGGAGGAGCTGAGGGCCCCAGAGGACTCAGTGACTATTAGCGAATCTGAAATAGCTGAAAGGAAAGCACATTGGGTCAGGCAACTGGGCTACAATCCAGGGTGATCATTTCAGGGACCCAATACGGGGAATCAGATCTGCATGCAAATATGGCAAGTTCCCAACATCTCTGAACCTCATTTTCCTTATTTATAAAGTGACAGTGAAAATACCCATCTCATGGGGGCGGGGGTGGTGGTGGTGGTGGAGGAGATAAACAAATCAGGATGTAAGGCATCCGGTGCATAATAGGTAATCAATCCATGATCGTACTTATTGATCCCTCACAGTAATTTTAATGAGCTGTGGCAATTTATCACAGCATTGTTTGTGGAAGTGGGGCGTGGGAGGCCGCCTTAGGGGTCCAATATAAGGGAAAAAGGAAAAGCAAAGTGGGGGAGGGGCAGCAGGCAGTGGTAACAAGCTCATATACACACAGCCATACGGGTAGATCTTCAAACACAGCTTTGAGTGAAAAGAGTAGGAAACCCAAGGAAGGTTATAGCACTGTATCATGAAGGTAAATTAAATGGATTGATATTGTGTAAGGGTTGGCGGGGTGGGGCCTACAGTGGGGTGGGGCCCGGGGGTGGGGACAGGGAATAAGGCACTGGAAGGGGTGGATACATGAGAAGCTTTGAACACACCAATGATAGTCATTCGGCATGAACTGAGAAAGGCAATGAACTCAACTCTGTGCACCTGAGATCCCAAGCTGAACAGACTCATGTCCCAGCCAGCAAAGACAAATGTCAGGGAGCGGAGGCAGGAGGGAGCTTGAGTAACAGTCAAGGAAGGCTTCTTAGAGCAGTTGACTCTGATGTGAGTCTTAAAGCAAGAATCTGGCCACTAACGAAGTAGAGGGGACAGAAGGAGCAAATTCTTCAGAAAGATCCACTTGATCACGGGGCATCTCTGTGCGGGTCCCCTAGCAGGCACCTGCAGGCACCACGGCTTGGCAGGCTGTGGCCCCAGGATCTAGGAGGAGCTTCCTACCTTGCTCAGCTTGGGTTCCAGCCACCTGTAAGGTGAGGGCAAGGGGCTCTCTGGATTTACACAGAAACTGCTTCAAACAGTTGACGGTGTAGGTGCCCACCAGCGTGCTCCTCCCGAAAGCTCTCCAGTCCACCACGCAGATGCTCAGAGGCGGGTGCAGAAGCTCATTCTCAGGCAGCTCCTGGGGGGGGGGGAGACGCCACGGTGAAATGGGGGTACTGCTTGGGCTGAGCCTGGCTTCGGGCGCCCTGTTGATCTATCTAGGGCCAAAGCAAGCTGGGAGGGTGTCCCTGCCTTGTCATTCTATCCTTCCAGGCCACCCTGCAGCTTGCCAGAAATCTGGAGTATTGCCTTCCCAAGCCAGGGAGTAATTACCCAAAATATGAGCAGTAGCACTAACAGTTCATCCGAGGTTTAAATTGAAAAAAATCACAAACTTCCAAATGGCGGCAGTGGTGACATTTCTTTTTTTGTCATTATTTACCGGGCGAACTCTCACGTCAAATGAATGTTTGAGCACAGGCCCAAGATATCAACCAGTTGAAAGATGAGCCATTTAAAATGGAGCCGAGAGTTAGGGGCCAGTGCCCTGACACCTTGTTTCCCTGGAAGCTCCCCAAAGCTCAACAAAGCTTGGTGTGAAAGGTTTGCAAACACTGTGCACATTCTTTATTCTGCTCTTTGCTGATTTAGCAAATGTGTCCATTGGCACTGACTGGGTTGGACAAAGCAAACTCTTTCTTCACAGTGAGTTCCAAATTAGAACACAAAAAAAGTATGTTGAAATACTGAAATAAACAAAAGCACAGATACCAAAAAAACTCCACAAAACCCAATCACATCACTTTAGAAGCACAAGTTCATGTGTAAACTACTGCCATGCTAAGTAAAAATCATTAAAAAAGACAATCTAAGCATTAAAATACATTTTGTGAGAGTCTCTTCTAGGCCAGGGGTTCTCAAACTTTAGCATGCATTGAGTGTGTGTGTGTGTGTGTGTGCATGTGTGTGTGGGTGCTTGTTAAACCAGAGATGCCTGGGCCCCAGCTCCCAACAGTTTCCGATTCAGTAGGTCTAGGGTAGGGCCTGAAAGTTTGCACCTCTGACAAGTTCCCAGGCGACGCTGGTGCTGATGAATCGGGGTCTACACTTTGGGAGTCACTGTCAACCTGATTTGACTTACTGCATGATCTAAGCTGGAACCTTTCAAAACAGAAGAACAAAAACCTATTTTATCCCATTCTGCAACTGTGGCTTTTCACTAAATTAGACCGGTCTTCCTTGCCGGTAGTGGGCTCCCCAACCTCCAAAACATCTCCCGAAGCCAGTTAGTGAAGGAGCGGTCCCATGTGTGGGAACGAAGGGGTGAGCAGATGAGAGTGTGAGGGGCCCGCACCACTTCGAAAGCGTCTGCCTGCGTGCTGAAGTTTGGGTTGTTCTTGTAGCTCTGGATCACGCAGGACTTGACGCCTCGTCCCCCACACTCGATAACAGCCTGAGGACGATCCACGGAGAGCAGCTGCACCTTCCTCATCTCTCGGACTCCCCAGAAGAGAACCTGAGGAGAGGACCCACAGAGCTGTCGAAGACCCCGGGAGGAGCCGGCATGAAAGCCAGGCGTGCTGCCTGAGAACCACCGTTATGTTCTTCCAGGAAAGGGCTGGGCAGCGATGTGAGGGCCCCGTCTGATCACTTACGTCTCCTTTGCACCCCACAATTCCCCTCATATCATGCACCACTGTACTGTCACACACCACCGCCTGTGAGTCCCAAAGATCATCTCAATCCTTCCGGGCACCATACCTCCACTCGGTAATTACTCAACACTGGCCGAATGCTGGCAGGAACCGAGTATATCTGGGTGACATCTGGTGGGTCGATGGGAGGGAGCCCTTGCAGCCCAGAAGAAGGGACCTACCACATAGAACAAGTGCTGGTTAAAAGGAGGAGGGGAGGCTAGGAAGGCTGACAGTGCCACACAATTACCTTATCCGCACGACAGTCATTATTCACCCATCCCTCCAACTCCCTCCCGTCTGGCAGCCATCAGCTTGTTCTTTGTATCTGAGTTTGTTTCTGTTTCGTTCGTTCATTTTGATTTTTCAATTCCACATATAATGAAATCATATGGTGCTTGTCTTTCTACTGATGGGGTTAAGAAGTACAAATTGGCAGTTGTAAAAATAGTCACAGGGATGTGAAGCACAGCAGAGGGAATATAGCCAATCATATTGTAATAACGATGCATGATGTCAAGGGGTACTAGACTTATAGGGGGAATCACTTCATAAATTATATAAATGTCTAACCGCAATGCTGTACACCTGAAACGAATATAATATTATATATCAGCTGTAATTGAAAAATGAAAAAAAATGACCCATGAATAGAAGGTAAGCATAGGCAAACAGATTTCATTCCAGCAGAAAGACATTCTCATAATTAAAATACCTTCATTTCTTGGAGTAGTTGGACAGGCAGACGGAATAACAATGGAAGAGATGATGAAGGCTTGGACCGGCACGTGTCGGTGGGAATGCAAAACAAGGACATGCATGTTTCATGTGTGGCTGGGCTCGGTAGTTGATGGAAAGTGCGGAATGAGTGAAAGATAGGAGATGTCTGGGGCTGTGCCACCCCAGTGAGATATAGGCGGCTCAATGGTGAATCTGAGATGCTTTCTTAAAAAAACGTTTTCCCTCATTCAACCTCTTATCACCATCAGCCAAATTGTGTAATGGATTGAAACCTTTTCCTCCATAAAAAAATCATTATTTTAACAAAAGCAACGTTTCCAGCTTAAAAGGCAACCAAGATGATTTTACCACACTTAATTATTAATTGAGAAATGCATCCACTCACAAAGGTAACCCACATTTAGTGAGCGCTCACGATGTGCCGCAAAGTGAACAGGTTAATAAGCTTCCCGTAGGTCACAATATAGAGGGGAGGATGAAGAAAGACAGGTAAATAGATCTTACAGCCTGATAAAACGGCACGGGAAATACAGCGGTGGAATAGAGGAAGGGCTCTGATCAGATGCTGGCCCTCTGAGACATAATTATCCCCCATTTTGCACTACTACAATGAGAGATTTCCTATTTAATCAAACAGAGACCACTCTTCATCAGTAAAACAGAAAATCAAGTCTTTTAAAGGCAGACCTCCAGGATGAAAAGGTGTCACTCACTTCCTGTGCATGTGGAGCTAACAAAACTGCAGGAAAACAATTGTGCTTTATGGAAGGCTCACACAAAGGGCTTAGAAAGTCTAGGCTCTTTCTCACTGGGTAGGCCACCCCGCACTGCCTTCACGACCTGGCTCAACACGTACATCTTTCAAGAAGCTGTCCCTGATTTGATCCCGGCTGCTGTGGTCATTCTCCTACCCTTCAGTCCTTAGAACACGGTGTGTCCTCTGTGGAAGCTTAGTGCAGGAATGCGTGGACTGAGCCCGGAAACCAGGCTCTGCTGTGTGACCCTGCATGAGCCCCTTTCCCTCTCTGGGCCTCAGAGACTGGGCCAGATGACCCTTCAAGCCCCTTGGGAGTCAGATGTGCTATTAAACATTGCTTTGGAGCAGAAGGCTCTCCTTACTGGGGGTGTGTGTCTGAGTTGGCCAAGAGGAAGTGTTTGTTTACTTCATTTCATTCTCCGAGCCCCTCAAGCAGTGTGCCATATCCAGTGGGTTCTTGATAAATGTTTATTGGCTGACTGACACATTAGCTCCATATGCTCAAAAAAGCCTAACTGCTCATCTGCAAAGCACAAACGTATCACCATTTCTTTTGCACAGACATTCTAATTGGCAACGGCAAATGTGGTTCATCTAATTATAAGAAAGCTCCGGAGAAAGGGCAGACAGCAGACACTGCCAATGCCAAACAGGCTCGAGACAACAAAGACGCAGAATGAAGCAGACCAGACAGAGGAGCTGGGAAATGGTGAGGACGCATGCCCCGTACTGCTTGGCGGTGGAGAGGTGAGCAATTCAGCCTGCAAAACATCACCTCGCTGAGAAAGCGAATTGCTCCTCTAGCTCCAAAGATGAAGCCATAGGATAGCTTGGATGGTGTCATAGGATGGTGCCTCTGGATGTGGTTTTTAAAAAGCACCAATGTTTACTCATCCTGGGGCTGCCAAAGTGTCGGCCTGGAAAATGCCCCGACAAAGCTTGTTCCACAAGGGCCCGAAAGATGCCCTTAAGAGTTCACCACAGATAGGCCTGGAGGATTTCACTGCATGGTGGAGATGGAATGACTTTGCTCCCAGCTAAGAATAAATGTTGTCACAGTGCAATGGATCAGCCACTGGCTTATAAAACTACATGGTGTGTATAGTTACTCGGCGCAGGGGGCCAATGAAGAAATGGCAAAATGGTAAGAATCAGGAGTGGGCAAGATAAGGTGGGTCAAAAGACAGATTGCTCTAATGTCCTAGTGGAGACAAAATATCAGGGCCTCAAAGGACATCCAACTTCAGGACAGGGTGCCAAATTTAAGAAGGTGCCACTCTTGGCATCATGCATGACAAGCTGTAAACGATTGACCTCACCATAGCCTGAATTACATAGAAAAGGAGATGACCTGCTGTAGGATGGAAGAAGAGGGAACATTTCATTTGACTGAGGTGGGGGTGGGCAAAGCTTCCTGGAGGAGGCATCTCTTGTTCTTAACTTTGATGATGATCTTTTTCCTAAATGGGTACTTGGAGGGCAGTGGTTGGGATGGGCAGAGCAGGGAGACACTTCAGGATGGGATAACAGCATGACTAAAAGCAGAGGAGTACATTTGTGTAGTGAGGGCAGGGAACTCAGTGTAGCCTGGTATAAAGAAGCCATAGTGTGTGTGGAGTAATATGATGAAATGTGAGGATTAAAAAAAAGTTTGAAGACACATTTTGGGAGAGTTTAAATGTCAATGAATGGAAATTTGACATTCTCCAGATTTTCTTTCTATGAGCTATAAAGAGTTATCATGCAAAGGAAAAAGTTCCATAGTCAAAAACATTGGGGAAATATTAAATATTCTCAGAGTCTTCACCCTATGGTAATTGGCATTTTGAATCCCCAAGAGGGATATACTATGAATCAGTTCTCAAACTTTCTTTTCACTTATTTAGCATTCCAAAACAACAGACTTTGGGGAATATTTCTGGAGGTAAGAAACAGGAGCCATTGATGATTTCTGAAGAGGAGAGTGGTATGGTCCAACTTGTGTTCTGAAAAGAATGTGAAAGATAAAGTGAACAGGAAAAGGGTAGGAAGCTAAAATACCAGAAAAGAGGCCAATGCAATCACCCTGATGAGAAATAGAGCCTATGGGAACAGGGAAGGTGGAAACTGGTCAAGGAATGGCCCTGGCTTGGCTACGGATATAGGTACAGAGTGAAGAATTCAAGCTGTATGAATTGTCAAGGCAAAGAGTCGGGGAAAATAGTGGGGCTATGAGCCCAGATTGGGAAGACTGGGGGGAGAGGGTGCGGGGACTGCAGCTAGCTTGGGGAGGGGAGGGAAATGAAGACAATAATTCCGTCTGGGGCCTGAAGAACCAAATCCTTCTTTTGAGACAGGGAAGTTTCAGTAAAGGAGATGGAGAGGCTGAGGAGAGGCTGAATAAACCACCTGCAGAGGAAACCAAAGAACAGCTGGTGACAAATCAGGCGTTTTCCAGCCTCTGTCTCTCAGCATGTACGAGACCCACATGCTAAGACAGCCACACTGATGATCAAATTACTTTTTGAACAAGTAATCAAATGAGAAGTCCTAATGGAACCCTAATGAATTTTATCTCTTAGGCTGCTTGCTCTGATAGTGCTTCCTCTATTAACTTAGCTGTCAGGAAGCAGCAGGTCTCCTGCTCAGCATGGAGGGAGTAGGAGAGGATGAAAGGTAGAGCCCTGGAATGGAGACCCGAGCCCTCAGAGGGTCTGTAGGGGTCAGTCGGTCCAGCCCCCCAAATCATTGGATTAGGAGAGTCAGGCTCAGAGCGCTTCAGCAAGCCTTGAGTAGTGAAAAGATCAGTTGAATGAATCCAATTCCGTTAACCTTGAGCCTCAGCTTTCTTTTTCTTTTTAATTGTATTTATTGGGGTGATATTGATTTTATAGTTTTCAGGTGTACAAGATTATAATTTGACATCTGTGTACTCTATTGAGTACTCCCTGCCTGAAGTCTAGTTTCCTTTCGTTACCATATATTTTATAGAATTACCATGTAATCCAGCAATTCCTCTCCTGGGAATTTACTTGAAAAATACGAAAACACTTGCCATAAAGACATATGTATCCCTGTGTTCATTGCAGCATTATTTACAATAGCTAAGAGATAGAAACAACCTGAGTGTCCTTCGATGGATAAAGATGTGGTATATAACATGTATGTATACATATATATTTACACAATAGAATATATACAATGGAATATTAGTCATAAAAACGATGAACTATTGACATGTGCGGCAACATGGATGGACCTTGAGAGTATTATGCTACGTGATATAAGTCAGGTGGAAAAGGACAAAAAAACCCATATGACTTCACTCACATGTGGAATATAGAACAAAAAGTGACACACGACCAAGAGGAGGCTCTGCTTTCTGACGTGTAAAATAGGAGCCTGGCGCTAGGTCTAGTTTTCCGGAGTCAGCCACTCCTCTACTACTTTTACCCCCTGTAGATATTGTCATTAGACGTAGTTTTGTTTTCAAAAAGGAAACTTCAGATTGCCAGATAAAATCGGTGCCACTTGCCATACATGGAGCGTAACTTAAAAAATGAAAACAAACTATGCTATTGGAATATGTGATGGGAAGCATTTCTTAAACTTCCTTTTCCCTATATGTTGCTTTAATGGTCCATCTCCTAACACTATTACTAATAATGAAACAAGTAGTATTTGTTGAGTGTAAATTCCATGCCAGGCGCTTTCGGTGGATGACCATCCCCACTTGGCAGGTGAAATACAGAGATTAAGCAGCTTACCCAAGGCCTCACTCTAATAAGTGATGGAAATGCGCTCTATAACCACGGGATCCGCCCTAGCACCTTCACTCTTATGTATTCTCTATGTGTTACGAATGCTTGTCTTCCAGTTTCTCTACAAAGTGAGGTGTTTTGTTTTGTTTTGTTTTAGAAATTGGGATTTCTGAAAAACGGGCTTCCCTAAAGAGAGAATGGTCTGACCCACAGGTAAAGTGCCACCTGTCCTCAGTGAATGGAGTGGTCAGGGAGAGTAACCTCTCTGATAGAGACCCTCAGTCACTGCTCTTCCAGATCCTCTCCATGTCCCATTTGGTCCTGGACAACCAGACTCAAGAGTCTCAGCTTTCCTCTCCAAGTTTCCTGCCTTTGCTTTCTGAAAAAGTCATCCAAGAGAGGAGAGCAGGGAGGCATCAGACACCACTTCCCGGAAGTGTACTTCCAGTCAGGCCGATCTCTGGCCAGGTAGACTAGACCAGGGGTCGGCAAACTGCGGCTCGCGAGCCACATGCGGCTCTTTGGGTACGTTCTGTCTCAAAAGTTTGCCGACCCCTGGAAGAGCCAATCCTGTCCCTCTCAACAATTTAAAAATTATTCGAGAGCCATAAATATATTTTTACATAACCACCATTATGTGAATAATGTCCTTTAAAAATTTTATAAATGAAACTATGGTAGTTTTATTTTCATTTTCAATTTGACTTCAGAGCCACAGTTCACGAGCCGCAGTTTGCTGACCCATGGAGGCTCTTCCGCCTCAAAAGTTTGCCGACCCCTGGACTAGGTAGACAATGACTAGTGCAGATGGCATTTCTAGCTCACTTACCTGCAGCAGCTCAAATACAGCGAGGAGGTCCCCTCCAGAGAGGTTCCCACAAAAGATGGGGTGATAGCACAGCCTGGGTGGCTCATAGTCCTGATCAGCCAGCTTCACAACAGGAGCAGCCACTGTGGCACCCAAATATTCTGGTTTCCCCTAAAGCAGAAAAGAAATGAATTTTTGTCCTTGATGGTCACCCACTTGGCTCTGACCTGCATCCGTGCAATTTTGTAAATAATCTTCAAAACTGCCAGCCTCAGGGTCCCCTTCTTGCTATTGTCCTCTTATCCCTTTCCAAGGCTTGGAGAGCTGTGGAATCCATTCGGGCTCCCAGGGTAAACGCTAAGAGGGTCATCTTAGGGGCTCCCTGGCCCAAGGTTATCTTCGGGGTTATCTCTGTCCTCAGCATATCGAGACCAGTAGAGTCAAGTTAAAGTAATTGTCTGGGGTAGACTTGAAGGGCAAAAGGAGAAATAAGGTGACACCAAACATTCCAAAAGTTCCCCAGGGCAGGACATCATTGTGGTCATGAACATGAGCTCTGGAGTCCAGGCAACCTCGAGTTTCTGTTCCCAAACCTGCTGCTTTTCTGATCTATGGCCTTGGGCCATTTGTTATTCAATCTTTTTTGAACTTCATGCCTAAAAAGTGGCGAATGAAACTAATTCTAAAAAATGTGTATTTCATAATAAAAAATAATTTAATAAAAATTTTAAAAAAAGTGGCTAAAAACAGTGCCTGTTAATGGGGGCCTGAGGATTGACATAATGATGCATATGCTTTGCACAGTGACGGGTATACAGTGAGGACTCAATACCAGGTACTGTCATGATGGTGACGATGATGATGAAGGTCAGTAGGTTTGAGTGAGAGAGAGTAACCTGATCTATTTTTCTTGGTAGTAAAAGAGGGTGTTCAAATATTTTTGTGTGTATGGATGGATATGGGCCATAAGTTTAAGAACTATTTGATGGTACTATCTCTTGCCTCTTCCCCACACCTGCTCCCAGGAGCATGGGTCCAGGTTCCCCCAGGAGCAGCATGGGGCTGGAGCATGGGGCTGCCTTGCTATTTATCTCAAAAACTGCTGGAATGTAAGCTCCATGAGGGCAGGGTTGCCTGTTTCATTTACTGCTGTGTCCCCTGGCACAGGATGGGCATTCGTTACAGATTTATTGAGTGACAGCTGTTAGTCCAAGGACAGTGCCCAGATTCTCTTCTGGCTGAGGCTGGGTTCTAGCAGCTGCGCTGTTTCGTTGCCTTTGGACTCATGAACCAGCCCTTGCAGAAGAAGGAAGCTCTGTTGAGGTGGAAATTGAGTTTAGTTCAGTCACACTTGAAAACAAACAAAGCTGCCTGTTGGTATCAACTTGTGAGGTTCAACCTATTCCTAGGATGGGTGCGCTTAGGGCCACTGAGTAACCTGCCATATAATTCTTTTGTCCATGATCTAATAGCTGGGAATAGTTAAAATCAGCCCTGAAAACAAGAGTCAACATAAATCCAAGCAACAGATTTGCCAAATAGAAAGTCATTTCTTAGAAAGCCTGCTGAAGGCACAAGCCACTGGGTAAGGAGGGAAAGCTCTATGCTGGAAGAAGGAGAAGGAGAAGAAGAAGGAGAAGAGAGAGAGGAAGAGGAAGAGGAAGAGGAAGAAAAGAGAAGAGAAGAGGTGGAGAAGCAGAACATGTGTCTCTAAAGGGATACAGACACACCAGCCACTCCCACATGTGCAGGAAAGAGGGACACAGGAGGCTAGGTTCAAGTTCTGGCTCTGCCTCCAACTAGCTGTGACCTTGAGCAAGGCATTTGACCTTTCTGGGTCTCTGTTTCCTTCTCTAGGAAGCAAGATTCATGCTATCCAAGGTCCCCGCTCACCTTCTACAATTCTCCCATCCTAATTTCCTCCTGGCCTTGCATCAAGGTCAGAGCTGCCAGGATGCTCTGAGGTCAGGAGGTGAGGAAGGCTTCCTGAAACAACTGTTGTACTTAATATATGTGTGCTTATGCAACTTCCCAAGGAGATAGAGACAGCAAAGAAAATAAATAAAACTTTGCCTTTTATTTCAGACTTCTTAATTTAAAATAGAAGATTTGATTTATAATTTTTGAAAACAAAAAACAAAAAACAAAAAAAACCTCCAGTAAGCTTTTGAATCTATCCAACGTGTCAGAACACACACATCTTTGGAGAGGAGGAGGTTTGGTTAACATCCTAACAGAAATGGGATGGAAGTGAATGCGTTGTTGCAGGGTTTGGAAGTAACAACCAAGTGGGGGGTTGGGGGGGCAGGGAAGACCCAATTACACAAAGGCTGAATTGGTGACAGGACCCATCCATTTCCTTCTAGCCAGGCAAGGTCAATAAATGCCTCCTGATTCCAAAAGGCATGAAGATTTTATTAGGCAGCAATAAAATATGAGGCTAGTTGGGCACTGGGAACAAGCATGTGGAGCGTTGCTTTATATGAGCATCCTGTTCCTGAAGAAGTGTGTATCTCCTGAAGTCCTGTGAACCAGATCCCATTTTCATTGCAATCTAAAGGGAACTCCAAGTGAAAAATCCTTTTAATAAAGCAAATGACGATTATCAATTTTCACGGTTCTGTGATTCATTGTTTTCCCAGGTCAGGGTTGCCTCCAGGCACATCTAGAGTTCTGTGCCAATCACAGGCTGGTTAGATAAAGGAAGTCAGTGGAACGCAGCCTTTTCAGCAAGGCACAGCCCACACTGCCCTGGGACACTCACCACCGCGTCGCTGTCGTACAGCTCCACCACCACCAACGGCGGGGACTCCGCCAGCTCCTTGGGGTCCCCGTGCAACACCAAGTCATTGAACAGTAACATCTGGTTCCAGGTGGGGGACAGGGTCTGGGAAATGACCTGGAAGGGAGGGCCGAAAGAAAAGCAACAGCTCATTCAAGTGGGCTGTCGGGGTTCTGAGGTGCATTCGACAGACACTTATGGATGGCAAAGAGAACACGTCCTCACCATCACTGCTCCCTTATTCAACAGTCAAGCGACAAGGTAAATGGATGGACCACTAAATGCCAGATGCTAGGGGATGAAAAGATTCCCTGCCCTGCAGGAGCTTATTTAAGTTTCCCAGAGACCCTATAATGGTTAACACCCTCTGTGCATACATCATTTCCACTCAGTCCTCACGGTAGTGCTATAATAAGACTAGCTGCCCTTTATTGAGCACTTACTATGTGCTGGCTGCTGTACTTTACATGTACTGTCTCATTCAAACTTCACAACAATTCTGGGAGGTGGATACAGTTATCTACTCACATTTTATGGACCAGAAAACAGACTCACTTGTCTAGCGCCAGTGAGTGGCAGAACCGGGATTCAACCTGGAACTCTGGCACCAAAGCCCAGGCTGCTGACCTCATTCACCTCCACCAAGTAGATGCTAATAGTATCCCCATTTTATGGAAGGACCAACTGAGGATGGGGGAGATCTGGTGAGTCTTCGCTTGTGAGCAAATACAATTTTGTTATCAAATACGCTAAAATTTGGTTTAAATCTTACAAGTCTTCTATGGAGTTCACCTGTTTTGTGGATATTTATTTGACTCCATTGAACTGACTCCATTGATCTTCAAACTATGCTCACCATTTTGTATGACATCGTTTTTTCTATCATAGCGAGTTGTGATCTTGGGAGTTGGTTGCACCCATTATACAGATGGAGAAACCAAAGGACAGAGAAGGACCACAACCGGCATAATCGGTCCAGAACCATGAGTGTCTCACCTAGAAGTGGCTCACAGCCCCCTGCCAGGCCACTCAAGCGGTACCTTCAGAAGGGAGGGTATAGTTGGACTTGAATCCTCTATTCTGATGAACTGGGTGTTTGGAAACAGGTCAGTTTCACAGAACTAAGGGCTGATGTTGTTTGCAGGGTGAGTAGACTGCACCTGGGCAGAAACTACCCCATTAATATGTGAGGCCAGTCCTGGAAAGAGGCCATTCATATTTTCCTCTCTCTCAGGTAGCGCAGGCAAATGGATGATTTCACAGGTGGATACAGCACCGCGGCTGCTGGGTCCTGGGGAAATTTTCATACCACCTCTAAAGTTCACTCTTACTTGTCACTGTTCACTCTAGGATGATCAGAGAGTGATCTGGCCCAGACTTACCACCCAGGCTCCAAAGCCCACATAAAACAGTCATCTCAGTCTTACACCAAGAGTCATCTCTAGTCATAGCACTAAATCATTGGCACCATGGTCACGAAAGAATTTTTTATTGCTCTTCTTTATGTGAGTCATAAAAATAGCATGCATTCCACAATTTCCTTCCTTTCTTGCTTTTTTTTACCGTTAGACTATATTACACATCAAACACAGTAAGATTTTTGACATAACATTTCAGAGAAAATCTTAACTTTTGAAAGAGGAAAAGAATGGTTTCAACTAACCTATAAACGGGAGTTATGGAATTGCAATGCGAAGTCAGCCTAGGTCAGTGACTGATATCACAAAGAACCACATGTTTTTATGTTGTTTTTAAAAAATGTGATCTCTTTTGCAGCATGCACCTCATGGTATGACACCAAAGCAATTTATGATCCTTACAGTGCCTTTCCTACAGAAATATTTTGATGTCTTCCTTGGCACTTTGGTCTATATATTTTACTTGGTAAGATTCTAGAGGCCAGCATTCACTCATTCATTCTTTCTTTCAACATATATATTCGTTGAAGACCTGTCATGTGCTAGGCACAGTATCAGGTAGTAACACAGCATCCTGTGCATGGCAGCTGTTCCATAGCTATTTGCATGAATGAATGAGTGGGTATTAGCCTGTCCTCAGAGTGGTTCCCATGAGTAAAAGGACCATGGCCACCTTCGAGAGGTACTGAAAGGTTCACCCAAACAAAAATGCATTCTCCCACTTCTCTGCCAAGGTGCCCGCCACTAGCTTCATTTCTTCAGGGCTTCCGTAAGCATCTATATATATCATAAACATGTTCAACGACATTATTTGGGAGATTATGGTACCACTTTGTTAACACTTGGAAGAAGAGTGAGATACCATGAATGGAGCATGGCTTTCGCATCAGGTACCCCTGGAATGGAACCCTAGTTTCATGGATGACTTACTTTCAACTTGGGCAGGTGATGTAACCTCTCCTCATTTAAATGGGGTTAGAATCTACCTTATAGAGTTGTTATGGCCATTGTCCGAGATAAAGCGTATTAAGTACCTAGCACACAGTAGGTACTCATTAAGTGCTTGTGGACCACCCCACTCTACCCCACCAACACTCTTTTATTGAGTAAACACTTACTGAACACCTACCATGTGCCAGCCTTGATGCACTGGGGTACTCGTGTCTAACAAGAGACCCTCCATGTCCTCAGGACTCAGTATCAATCTGCTTGTTTGAAATCTCAGATTGCATGCTCTCCACCCTCTGAGATTCCCTCTTTTCTAAGACTCTCCCTCTTAGCCACTTAGTCTCACTCCCCGTTTCCCCCAAACCTTTCTTTCTGAGAGCTGTCTCCCTTGCCCTTTAGCCTTCAGTCACCACAAGATTTCTAAGCCTCGCGTCCTCGGGCACATCTGGAATAATTGGATTGCCTTCTGAAATATTTTGTACCATTACATCACTTTATGGGGAATTGATTTGCAGTACCAGCCCTGTTCTCCCTGAGCTCCATGTGGTCAGTTCAGATAAGAGCTACCAGGTGACCGGTGGAGCTCAGCTACGACTGCAGCGACCCCAGGCTCAGCTTTCCGGCCATAAAGAGTGCGAGAGACGGTCATGTCACACACAGACCAGTCCCCGCAAGGCATCACAACACTGACACAGGACAGGGAAAGTGACTTTGGAATTGGAACCAACCTGGGTATCATCTTGGCTTTACCACCTTCTACCTCTGTGATCTCTAAGCCTTACCACCCTCATCACCAGAATGGAGACATTAATAACACCTTCGAGCTGCAGTGAGATGTAGCAAACAATACATACACAATGCTTAGCATCATGGCTGTCACCTAGGGGCTTTTATTATGAACAAGAATTAGGTAATTGGTTTAAAGTATGGAGACAGAGTCCAGAGCTCCACAGAACCTATTTTCCCTTTCAAATGATTATCTGATAAACAAATGCCATCTGTTCCTTTGAGATATAGGTCTATATCGAATGAAAGTACTGTATGGAGACACAAAACAGAAGAGTAATCACATGGCAGCCCAGAGAGCTCCCTCAAGCCCGGGGGCCCCATCCTGGGCCTGAGATCAGCCCTGAGGGCCTGGGTTCCACAGTGTGGCAGGTGGATGATGGTCCCCAGGTACCACCCTTGGAGAATCCCTCTTGCTTCCAGTGAAAAGCCTCAGTGACAATAATGACAAACAGTCACATAAAGGCTATTAGAAGTAAGGCACTGTCCTGGGTGTTTTACCCTCTGAGAAGTATAAACAATGTCATCATCTCTATTTTACAGACGAAGAAAATGAGGACAAAGCGGGTTTTGCTTAAGGTCACATAGCCAATTAATGGAAGAGCTTGGATTTGAACCCAGGCAATGTGGCTCCGGAATCTAGACTCTTAATCACGGCGTCATGTACTAACTCTCAAATCAGGAAGGAGAAAGCAGTCTGCAGTTTTCTTGTTTTCAAGCTCATTCACTAAATGACAATGGAGTCACCTTCCTTCTGGGGTCTCTCTCGAGTTCCCGCCTATTTAGAGCTCAGCCCTCTCTCCAGTGGTTCTTGAAGGCCCCGCACTGTGGGATTTATCACTGTAGAGCCGACTCATCGTCCAGAGGCCTGCCTGCCTATCTCCATGCCCAGATCACACATTACGCAGGAGCGAGGGCTGCTCCTCCATCCCCCCTGAGCCCAGCATGGGCCTGGCACAGAGAAAGCACTTGACAGAAGCTGGTAAATGAACGCAACACCGGTTCACAATACGATCTCAGTCTGTGTATCATAAACCAAAATGCAATCTCATTCATTACCCAGATCACGGGCCTCACTCTGGAATGAAATGTCAGCCCTCTCAACATCAACCCATGTAATGGCCACCATTCATCAATCACTTATACACTTACGCTTTTGCTTTTTCACAATAGCCCTATTTTAAGATGACAGACCAAGGTTTGGTGAGTAAATGCAGCTAGAAAGTAAAGGAGCTCCATTGTAACCTCAGGCCTCTTTGTCTCAATTCCCAGAGGTGGGCAAATCCTTTACAGAGCTTCCCTCTCACAGAACAGAGAACCCTCAGAGAACAGAATAAATCCTTAGCGAATACGATCAAATGAGAAAAGCGGCTTAGCAGAGTTGGGCTGATTAGGAACCCTTTTCCCATTGCAGCATTCAGTGTCCAGAAAAGGGAGAAAGTAGAGAGGACACAGGTAGAGACCCATCTCCATTGGTCCTCACAGCATCCTTTAGGAAGTCGGATTTTGCAGAGGAGAGAGACACTGAATTGCAGAGGTATTGAAAGCGTGCCAAGTTCCCCAGCCGTTAAGTACAAAGTGACAGTGCAAAGTCTAGGCTTCCTGACCACAGAGCTGGAAAGCCTTCCTCCCCACCGAGACCCCTCAGTAAAGGGAGCATCATAGGCCTCGTGCAGGTTGTCTGTGTGCTCTTTGCTCGTGTGTTCACTCCCCACTGAACGTGGCCTTGTGCCTGGAATTTCGGCAGGCCTCTAGGGGCCAGATTCTGCTTTTCTCCTCTCTTCTCTTTTCCTCCCACCCTTCTTTTGCCTCTGGGGTTTGCTCTCTTGGCTTCAGGACAGTGGGCCATATTGCAACAACAGACTCCATGTCCATCCTTCCTTGCACACGTGCTAGGAGCCTGAAACACCTACATACCCAGAGACATGGGAATTTGCAATGTGCCCGTTTTTTTTTTTTTCTTTCCTGGGGGTCTGCTGCAGATTGGCTGTGGGCTGCAGGAAGTAGGCAGGTGGGCTTCTCTGGTTACCTTTGTGGTCTGGCAGTGGGAAAGGAACGTGACCTTGGCAAAGGGGTCTGAAAGTCCGTTGCTGTCACCCGCGATGAGGCCCCGGGCTTGGTACATGTGCGCTCTCAGCTGAAAGACATGCCGGTCTGTGGACAAGCAATGGAAATGGGCAGGCGTTAGTGGGCTTTTAGGAACATTAAGTGCACATGGGTGTCGGTGTGCAATGTGTGTCTGTGGGTGTTTCCAGAGACGGATAAAGGAGACCACAGTACCACCCGCCTCCAAGACTGAAATGGATGCAGAGAAGAGAGGGGGAGAGGCCACATTGCTGGGTATTTTGGAGCCAGACATTCTCCTTGGTGCTTTCGCCACATTGTGGGTTTTAACCTGCATAACAACACTGTGAAATGTATATAATTATCTCCATTTTATAGATAAGGGAAGTGGCTCACAAAAAGGCTAAAATACTTTTCCAAGTTTGCAGAGCTAACAAATACCAGAGCCTGAATTTCATTTGTGTCAGATTCCAAAATAACCTTCTCTTTCTCAAATGCCACATTTTACTTCCTAGTAATTCTCCTGTTTCTACTGGTGTGTGTGTGTGTGTGTGTGTGTGTGTGTGTGTGTGTGTAAGAAAGGGGCTACTCCACAAATAGTTTTTGCTTCAATAAACTGAATAAAGTCTTGAGTCACCCATCCATCCATTCCTCCATTCAGCCAGCTGATGTCATTTTGAACGCCTACTCTGTGCCATGTACAGTTGTACAGCTCTGGTCTCTAAGGGTCCTGGAGTAGTTAAGACAGTCCCTGCTCTTGGGGAGCGCCAGGGAGAGGGCAGAAGATAAGATAAGCACCTCAATCACAGTGACAGGAGGCCAGGGGAGTTGCAGGCAGGGGCCATGAGAGCTTAAAGGCGGGAGTGAGGACACCAGTTTGACAGTATGGGTGGCAAAGAGAGAGCCGCAGGTGGGGGCAAACAAGGGTCCAGTGGGGGAACCCCAAGTAAGAGTTGAGTAGTTCACAACAAAGAAAGTGTATTAGGTCACTCCATGAAGACAAAATGCTGCAGAGGATCAGAAAGTTTGGCAAAAACTCTTTCCTTTTCTCTGAATCATTAGTAGCTAGGACAGCAAATATTTCCAGATAAATTGGGTCTCTAGAGATAGCGCCTATGGAAGGAGATAATTTGATGTGGGTGTTTTTCACCCAAAGATAAAACTTTCTAAAGACAGGCTAAAAAGCAGTGAAAATAAAGCAGGGTTTGGAGAGCACTTGCTCCATCATTTACTAGCTGTGTGATCTTGAACAACTTCTAAGCATCTCTGATACATCCTTTGTCCATCTGTAAAATGAAGAAACCACCAAGGGTTGATATGAGAAATAAATTAAATCTTACAATAAGTAGAGGGCACAATGCTTGGGCCATGGTAGGTGCTATTTCCTGAACCTTGCCTTCTCTAACTATTGAGCCCGTAGATTCCACTGGCGGTCAAGGTCAACCAATGTCAGAAGAGCCTTGTGCAACACAGGAAACCCCGGGTGTATAGATAGCTCTCCAGGGTTTCCCATACTGGCTCAATTCAAAACCCAGCCTCAGTCAAAGTGAAGGTCAATCTGTAATCTACTCTGAATTCAGCAGCAAGAGGTCCTGCAAATTGAAGACTGGAAACAGCAAAATGCAACTGTAAGGTATTCATATTTATAACAAAAATTAAAATTATATGTAAAGGTAAACATGAAGGCATTCATAGAAAATATCTACACAGGAGAAAGGATTACATAAAGCATGCTGAATTCCCAGAAGTCGCCAAGCCAGCGAGCAAGCTACAGAAACACGAATGACCTCATTGATACCAATTTCCATTGGGTCCTTACAGGGAAATGTAAATGTTTGTTGTTTATGGGTCAAATCTCCAAAGCCCTGTAAGAGGGGAAAATCTGCTTGAATTCCACAGATCGTGTCAACAGAAGAACTTACTGATATTTATTTAAAAGATATGTTTCCCTTAAAATGCAAGCTCAACCGATATAGTCTGCCTCCAAAGAAACGCAAATGATTTTCTCTCCATTAACAGAAATATATAAGTGTTTATTCCAGATGTGTTTAACGACTTCACTTTATTCTTTTTAGATGGGGCATTGGGAGGTAAGGAAGAAAAGGTGGAAACTGTATTAAAAGAAGGCAAATAAGTTGATTTTAAAATAATGCACAAACGACTCACGCATGCCACCCTCCTCACTGTTTTCTTAGAAGCCCACCGGACACCTAATGACCCTCTTTGTCCCGTGGGCATCATACCTTGGTAGAGCAGGTTGGCTGGGGGCTGAATGGCACCAACCACTTTGGAGGACACTTCTGCTTCATAGCCTGCTGGCAAGTTGTCCAAAATGGCGCTCGAGTGTTTGGTGGAGCCCAGCCACAGGTACACGTCGACTTTTGCTTGCACTGACCAACCAGCTGGACGTTTCCCAGGAAGCTGCGGAAAGGTCATGAGGAAGACCCTCTTGTTAGTAGGAGCTGAATATGGGCATCACTCTTTTCTGAGAAAAGAGGTCTGGGCACCTGGGGACATATGCAGTTCTCAGGAGCTCATCTTATATTGGGTTGTTGGAAAAGTCATGACGTTTTTTTTTTCTATGTTTTTCGTTGCAAAAATGCATCATGACTTTTCCGACAACCCAATATCAAAACAAGAACAATGGCCTCACTTGCCACGATGCACAATTTTACGGGAGCGTCCAGGTGTAGTGGGGCCTGAAGCTTAAACAGGCCCTTGTGGGAAGCACTCCTGAGCCCTGGATCATTTCAGTCTAACAGGTAGGTATGGTTATTGCCCCCATTTTATAGATGAGCAAATGCAGGCTCTGAGAGGTTAGATAAGTTCCCAAAAAACATTCAGCTTTTATGTATAGAGCCAGGACTCGAACCCAGGAGAGGTGATTCCAGGTCTAGACTCTGAACTCCAAAACCCCACAGGCTGCCTCTTCCTGCACTGAAGTCGTCCTTCCCAGAATTTCCAAGTGCCTGGAGTTCCAGCCACAGCCTCTCCCTCTTCATGTCATTCAGGAGGCCAGGCCTCCATGTGCTTGATGGAACCTACCGGCCCTACCATCTTCCTTCTTCCTGGCTAAACACCTCTCACTCCTTCATCATTTCCTCATGCAGGGTGGCTTCCAGTTCCCTCACTACCCTGCTCTCTCCTGTAAAGGTACTCGGATTTGTATTTATATTTATGTCTGTTTGAATTTGTATGTTTATGTGTGTGGTGTGTGTGTACATGTACATATGTGTGTGTGTGTGTGGGGTTACACATGCTCTCAAGATGTGAAGACACAGCTCAATGCAGTGTGGCTTCTAATTTACTCCTCCATCACCAGAATTAGGGGGCCCCCTTACCCCATCTAAGGAGTCCCAGGCCCCAGGCTTGGCTGCGTTCAGGATTGCAGGCAAGGCCTTCATTCTGAGAGCAGCTGGCTACCTCTCCAGATTTTCTTGACTCTTCTAAGAGCCCCTTCTTAGTGTTTCTCAGGATTTCCTATCAGTATTGCCCTCTTTCTTCTGCACCGCTTCTCTCCCACAGAGAATCACAAAATTTTACTATGAGAGGTGACAACTTGCTGACGATTTCCAAGGCACCCGTGGAGAACCCCTGAATCCAAAATGGAGCCCGGGTGTTCACTTTCTTGTCTTGCTCTGTGAGCTCCCTACATGGATTCTGAGCAACTCAATTCAGCAATTACTATAGGTGCCACTAGGAATTGCTGAGGCAGGGGGGTTAGGACGTGTCACAGGGACCCAGACACAGCCCCCCTCCCCCGCCGTCCCCACCCCGTCTAGACAAGGAGGCCAATTTGCATTCACTTCCTGAAATGCAAAGTTAAATGTAAGAGAGAAAAACTAAGGGGGCAGAGAAGTAGTAATAGGTACTTCCATCCTTTCTTTAAGATGCAGATTGTTCGCTGGGCTTTAATCAGTTCTTTGGAGTTGGATTTGTAGAGAAGGAGCCCCAGGAAGAGGCCCAGGAAGAGGGACGTGCGTGAACAAAGATAAGGGGGCAGCAACTAACAGTGCAGTGGGAATATGAGCTAATGTTTAGTGAGCGCTTACTCGGCACCCGGAACCGTTTGCTGAGAGCTTTCAGAAAGGAAAGAGCTGGGGCAGAGGACGACACAGATAAGGCTGGAAGAATCCTGCTGGTTATGCGGAGGAGTTCGGATTTGATGCTTTAGGGAGGGGGATGTGTTATTTATTCAGCTTACAAAAAGCAAAATAGGTCATTTTGTTGTTGGTCAAGACAACCACTCTGCAACTCATAATTCTAAAACTTATAATAAGACAAGTAATCCTCCATGCATCATTTCTATAATAATAATAATAATAGCTAAAATGTATTGAGCACTTGTTCAATAAAACAAATATTTATTGAGAACCTGAGGTTATTTTGTTGGAATAAAAGCATTCCCTCTGCCATTTGTAGACATCATAGGGGTTTTTGTCTATCTGTTCACAGTGATCCCCTAATGCCTAAAAGAGGGCTTGGCACCCAGGAAGCACTCTGTAAATATTTGCTGAATTATTTATTTTTCTGATAATAATAGTAAGAATAATAATTAATAATAATATCTTACACACATTGAGCGCTTACCTTGTCCCAGGCTCTGGTCTAACATTCTTCCATACAAACAGAATGTCCTATTTCCTGCATACTTTTAAAAAGTCATAGATAATCATTCATCTGCATGTTGACTATACAGTAGGTACTTTTATTGTGTGTGTTTTAAAGATGAAGAATGGAGGTTCAGAGAGGTTAAGACAATTGCCCAATGTCACAGAGCGAGGCAGGGGTACAGCCAAGACTCAACCCTGCTCCGTCTGGCTCCAGGGCCAGTGCTACTCACACACTGATGGGTATCAGTGCATGAGAATTATCAGGGCATCTGTTCAAAATGTAAATTCAGATTCAGTCTGGGGTAGAGCTTGAGATTTTGCGTTTCTCCCTATTGGCACTGATCCTGCTGGTCTACAGACCATAGTTTTAAGTGTTTAAGTAGTAAGACACTTAACCTGCTATGTTGCATTGCCCCAATCAGGTCTGATATCCTTTGCTTCTTAAAGTAAAACAAAAACGTCATTCATTTCTACGGCTATGAAAACAATATGTGTGTGTGAATTCATGGCTAGAACCCAAAACTCAGCTAACGTCATATGAAAATGTTACACCAGGACCACTGTCGCACTCCTAAGGTTGCAGGTTATACATCTTTTTAAAAATACACAAATTGAAATTGCTTGCAAGACAATGCAGTCTCTGACTGAAGTATCCACGTTGGAACACAGGCGGCATTATCCAGCACCCTCCCAGGTGCTTTCAGAAACAGTGTCCCATTTTTAACTTCCCAGGCACTTCCGGCCTGGGCGTGTCTTCCTTGCCTCCCCCTTCCCCACTCCCCTTTCTTTCTTATGTGCCCCTGTAGCCTGATGGACCACAGCAATTTCTTTCCTTTTGAGATTAGCATGGTAAGGTAGTGGAGAAAGAAAAAAAAACAGAAAAAAATAAAAAAACAGAGAAAAACGAAGAATACAAAAGTGCATTAAAAAAACTATGATCACCAAAGCATAAAAATTGTGTGAGACAGAATGCTAAAAGTCGTCACCTCTCCCATGCCCCACCCACCTCCCTCTAGGGTCCTGGTGAAGGCTAGCTGGCTTAAAAGGGAGGGAAATCTTGGCAAGTCAGAAAAAGGAGAGAAAGATGTCAAATCACATGAATTGTGTCCAAGTTAGTCCATCAGTATTTGTAAGAGAAAGGATTGTTTGCCTTGTAGCAGTTTCACTCTGTGGCAGGACCCAGAAGGTGTCTGTCAGCCACCGCATTCAGCTGCATCCTAGGAAAAGATGGAAGGAAAACTGAAGGCCTGAAAAGAAGAGACTGGACCTAGAGGTTTGGAGCAGAAGATAGGATAGAGATGGGGACAAGAAGGAGAAGAGCTCTGTCGAGTTAACGCGGGGTAGACTAGGAAAGAGAGGTGACTCAAGGAGAGAAGAAAAGGGAGATTGAGCACCACCTGCTGGCTGGGCTATAAGTGCACCCAGCTTCTCCCACAGGAAGTTTCCTTTTGGTAATGAATGAATGTCCTTTCATCCTTCCGCCACTAGAGGCACAGTGGGGATGAGACGGAACGGGGAGAACTCTGCTTTTCTGGATGGTGGATTGGGTTGAGCTCTGCAAATTCTCTTCCAGCGTTTTTAGTAGCATTGTGAAGATATTTAAAGTAGAGAAAAAGGAAGATCATGGAACCAGGGACCATGAAACCCTGGCTGCTGTTACAGAGTTACCATTACTTAGCCAAGCGACTTCAGATGAGGCACCTTCATTTCCTCTAGATTAATATTCCCCAAACTGGGACCCTAAGAACGGTAGTTTCCTAAAATTGATAAATAGCTATACTAGATGACTGATATTTGGCAAGCATGAGTTATAAAAGTTAAAGACATTTCCTGACTGCAGGACTTCTCAGAGCCTTCTAATTGGTTAATGAGCACTGTGACACTCCAAGGGAGGGATTCAACTGCAGCCTCCCGCATGTGTTTGATCACGGACATTTATGGAACCACTCCGAGGACAGCTGTTCCATAGAAGAAACTTTGAGAAAACCCTGGCCTGGAGATTTTAGAGATTCACATCCTCGGCGTTGTCTTCCTGCACTTGCTAATTCCCAGCTCAGACACCCGAGTCAGTGGCAGGTGCGTGGAGACATTGTCTTCCGGGTGCAGCTCTTGCTTTTTTGAGATTTACCAATTCAGTGAGCAAAAACGCATAAAGGAAAGTGGATGGAGTTAAAAGCAGGGGTAACAATCGAAACAGGAGTAAAACTAGTTTTGCTGAATCATCTCATCCCGATGCTTCAAGTCGGTACAATTAAATTCAATGAAATTTCTAAAGCTATCACCCAAAGCAATCCCAATGGCAAAAGGAAAATGCAAATGGAGAGGGAAGCCAAGGCTCTCGATTCTCAGCTATGTCTACCCTCTGGCTTTATTCGACAGTTGTCCTCGGTTCTAATTTAAAAAATGCCAGGCTACATCAAAATATTTAGGAGGGAGCAACACTCCACTGATTTTTTTTTATTAGTATTTTTGGCACAGGGCCTTCTGAAATGATTTGCTATTTTTAAGATAAATATTTCTTGTGACCCCACAATTCCTTGGATGGAGAAAACTGAAGAAAAGTCCTGATATTTGTGGTGAACAACTTGGGTGAAATTTTCTTTTTTCAGTTACAGTTTTACAGGGGTGGGTTTAAAAATCATTTACACACATGACAGAAAATAACATACAGAGCCCCAACACACTTCACTGGATATGAAGGGGACACACAATTCCAGAAACGTCCTCTAGATGTTGGATGCCCGTTTGTATGAATGCCAGCGCTTATTGGGGGATTACTCCGGGTGATGCACACTCTGTTCTTTGTATGCATTCATCTACTTAATCCTCAACTCCACCCCCATTTGGCTCATGAAGAATACAAGACACAGAGGTGGTATGTAACTTACCCGAGGTCACACAGCTAATAAATATTAGCCCTGCAATTCTGTTATGGGTTAAATTGTATTTCTTCAACTATTCATATCCTGAAGTCCTAACCCCAATACCTGGAGAACATTAATTAAATCCCATAACCTGAGACCTTTTGAAAACAGGGTCATTGCAGATATAGTTTAATAAGGTTGAACTGGAATAAGGCTCTTATAAAAAGAACATAATGTGAGTAGAGACACAGGGAGAACATTATGTGAAGATTGGAGTTATGCTGCCACAAGCCAAGGGACTAGCAGAAGCTGGAAGAGAAACCTGGAAGATCCTTCCCTGACACTTTCAGGGGGAGCGTGGCCCTGCTGGCATCTTGATCTCAGACTTCCAGCCTTCAGAGCTGTGAGATAATAAGTTTTTGCTGTTTAAGCCACTCAATGGTACTTTGTTATAACACCCCTAGTGAACTAATACAAATCCCAACTCAGATTCACCTGATTTCAAAGCCCATGTATGAAACCATTGCTCCATCCTGCCTCTTCTGTCTATGACATTTAACCATCACATCTACAGTAGACTCTAGCAATTGGATGGCACTTAGAGGCTATCTAATCTAGCTGCCGACTGCCATATTTATATCAAGTAGAGGTCCAGCCTCTGTTGACACCTTGATGGATGAAGAACATATTATGGACCTCCATTTAGGGAACCATTTCCCTATAATGGCTATCATGGGGTTCTATCCTGTGGAAACACACACACACACACACACACACACACACACACACACACAGCCCATCATCCATGTGGTAGCCCTACAAACACTTTAAGTCTCAATCAGCCTGTCAAATCTTCTCAGTTACCCATTGCTATCTCTTCATCCATCCTTCATATAGCATGGTTGTTGAGCCTTCTCACCCTCCTTCTGAGGCAGTAGAAGAATTATGTTATAGCAAGAAACCTGAACTGAAATCGGGAGAACAGTCTACTTACTATGAGCTGGGAAACGTTAATCAGTTGAACCATATACTCTTATTGTCAGTCATTGGTGAGTGTTCAGCCTTTGGACCACTCTTTCTCCATATTTGCTCAAGTCTACTTCTGGGGTGGAAATTTCTTTTAGTAGAGGGAAAATACTCAGAATCTCCAAGAAAGACTTAAAGCTTGAATTAGAGACAGTAGAATCCATCCACAGATTTTGCCTAGGGGTATCTACTCATGAGACATGGGGGGGGGAGGGGGCTTGTTTTATGAAAGGTGCAGGGACCCAAGTTGAAAAGACTATCATCTTTTTACAATTTAAAGCCACCAGCAATCCTGAAATAGCAGCTCTGTGGAATATAAACCACTCCTCTTATAATTTTCTTTGAAATCTATTTTTAAAATAGAGATGAACTCATGTGAAAAGATGCCATAGCTAAATTACACAAGAGAAAAGGCTGAGAGGACACTAACAGAAAAATGTTTATTCTTCCTAGTAATCAAAGAAGTAAAAATTAAAGTAACCTTGAGGTGTACCCACTAGATTAAAAAAAACCTTATATGTGTCTGGTGACATAGTTAATTGGTAAACTGGAAAATATTCAGCCTCGAGGCAGTCTATGGAATCACAATTTGCGTCAAGAGAGGGCGAGGTATCCCAGTTGTCCTCAGACCTTTGAAAGGTGTGGGGAAGAGTCAGAGGTATGGTCGCCCACTAAGCATGCTGAACGACCCCTGAAAAAACCAAAGATTTCCCATCTTTGAGTCAAAACAGTGCAGACTTACTTTGAGGAAATGTGTTTTGATGGTTCCGCAGTGTTTACCCATCTGCTCCTTGACGGGGGAGTAGAGCAGGTCTTTGGAGGCGATGCGGGCATATGCCACCCTCTTGTTGTTGCTGAGCATCCATAGAAAGACATCGGGGATGGTGTGCTGTGGCTGCAGGGACAGAGGGAAGTGGATGTGAGAGGCTGGCGTTTAACAAGTGCACTTCCAGAGTTCTCCTCTCCTGAAACACTCCCCCTTCCGCAAAACAAATTCTGAGGCTCAAACCATCTAGGTACTGAAAACATCTATGCAATTAAGCAAGTTAAGTGTAGCTTCTTTTAAAAGAGAAAAAGTTTTAGGTCATGAACTAGCAGTGCATGTACACCTCATTTGCCAAGCTGCTCACTGTGCTTTGAGAATATGCAAATTAGGCCCACGATGTGGCATTTCTGATGGCCTACTTTTCCCCATCTGTAGAACAAACATTTTTCTACACCTTCCCGTGGATTTGTTGTTGTTGTTGTTAGAATCTTATAATAATGATCTAGCTTCAAGCATAGGATCTCCTAAAAACCAGGTAACATTTCCAGAATATTCAAATTAAAAAAAAGCAAAAACTAATATCCATGAATGGCTTGCCATTTGCTCTTAAGGAAGTAAAAAAACAATTCAACAAGGGAATTTTTCCTAAAATATGATTGCAAGTATTTTAGCTCTGTTTTGGGTGGTGACTCAGGAGAAACTTGACTGAATTGCACAAAAATGAGACTTCCAGAGTTGAGCTAGTCAAGATAGGAAATGCAGAATTCCCTGCCAAGACGCCCATTATGTTGCGAGTGTTTGAAATGCACATTGCTGAGTCCACAAAGCTACCAAATGAAGGGTAAGTGTATCTTCATAAACTAGGCTTCAGCATTCCTGGGCTGGAGGCAGATACTCTATATTTCAAATGCTTAACACTCCAGTGCAATTGGTACTCTCGAGGGCACCCCTTCTCCCTTGATTTGGAAACAGAGATGTCCTTGTGGACGTTTTCCTGGCCACAGGGATCATAGTTCACAGACCTGAAGCCCTGAAGCCTGGTTTGAAACTTCTGGGTGTTTATTAAAATCCCCGTATCTACTAAAATGACTACCTGTGTCACTGGTTATTATGCCTTCAGGGAATAATTGATTCACAACAAGAAATACAACTTTTGGGCCGGCCGAGTGGTGCAGTGGTTAAGAACTGGCTTGGGATGCCAGAGAGCCCTGGTTCGGATCCCACATATGAGGGCCAGTGACACTGCCCTCTACAGCTAAGATGCTGAACAACAGCTCAACCTGGAGCTGGGCTGCCGTGAGTCGCTGGCAATGGCGTAGGCTGCAACCCCTGCTGCAGTGGGTTGCCATGGGCTACCGTGTGTAGCCAGCAGCCGCTGTGAGCGGCCGTCCAGAAGTTGGTGACTGATCTGCCTCGCCCGGGAAGAGCGCAATGATGGTGCCAACTTGGGCCAGTGAAGCAACGTCCTCCACAACTAAACTGAAGAACAAAATGACAGCAACTTGTCTGTTCCCCTTCCCCCAATTCCCCAGCACTGTTCCCATCCCCCAATTCCCCAATAAAAAAATTTTTTAAAATCTTAAAAAAAAAAAAAAAGAAATACAACTTTTGAGAACAGCAGAAGCACTAAATCTGTACGGCTTTCTGAAACATTCCCACACAAAACCCAGCATGTGACAGAAGCAAATATAAGGGCCTTTTTAGATCATCCTAGAGATCATCAGAAGTTGGTTACAACTAGCTTAATAATGAGAAGCTGATTTGACCTTAACTGGACATAAGTTGAAATAGTCTTACAGTTGAAAAGTTATCAAAGGCTCCGTGCTGATTTTGACTTTTCTTGAGTCCATTAAGAAACATGCTTTTTATTTCTGCTGAATACGCAGGCTTCATTTAAAAAAATCAATAAAGCTTGGATGTTTGGCTTAATTTTAAAATCTGCTTTTTCACCCCTAAACTAATAGTGCCTGCTTAGCTCAGCAAGGCTTGGGAGAAAACATCGCTCCATCTTTTATCCTTATCAAACATTCAGACCTCACTGGGAAGACATCCGGTCTACTCTTCTGAATGAGCTGGTCCGCTAAAGTTGATTACCTCATCCACAAGAAAGCGGATTTTTTCCACAAAATTTTGGGCTTCGGTGATCATTTCGTTGAGAGAGAACTTTTTCTTCTGTGGCTGAATGATCCCCTGAGCCTTCTTGGCCATCGCCTCCTAAAACAAGACCAGAGTCAGGGTACATCTTTCTAGAAACACTGTCCTGTTGCTGGAGAATCCTGAGGGGATTTGTAAGCGCCACGCTGAGCCACTCCTAAGGGCTGTTTCAGGGCCCGCCACTATGCACACTGCACATTTAATAGAAACGTCACAGGAGTATGGAGGCAGAGAATATCATCTCACTTCTGTTTGACAGATGAGAAGCTGAGGCCCAGAACCGTCAGAAGTTTGCCCCATAGCTCTGGTAGACAAGCCCTGAATCTAGGCTTTCTGATACTTAACAACTATCATCACAGCAGCTAAAATGCATTGAGTTCTTTCTCTGTTCCAGGCAATGTTCTAACTGCTGTATTATTAATGCTCGCTACTCCTCATAGCAACTGGGGAAGGTGCTACTATTCCCGTTGCACAGCTGGGGAAACAGAGGAATGCAGACACTGAGAGGCAGGGCTGAGCTGACCTCCAGCTGAGCCTAGAGTCTGTGACCTTAGTTGCCTCTCTCACCGCCTCTTCTTAGAGGCCTCGTGGATGCTTCCAACTTGATCTGAAAGAGACACTAAGGCAGTCGGTGTGGGCAGCGATGCTGGGGATGAAGAAGTGAAGTCCCAGAGCCTTTCAGGGGCAAAATCAATAGGGCCTGGGGCTGAACTGACAGTTGTGGGTGAGGGATAAGGATCCCAAGGTGATTCTTAGGCTTCCGATTGGAGCAACAAGTGTAGCTGGTGGTGTCAATACAAGATGCAGGGCATGTGTAGGTGGGAAGGTGATGGGTGGAGGAGGAGATATGTATTAAGTCTCAGGTGCTGTGAGACAAGCAGGTTACATGTCTACTGGGAAGGTGGAAATACATGTCTAGAGATGAGGAGGTAGAGCTGGCCACTGCAAAGATGCTGAAATCATGGTCTTGTTCAGGCCAAGAACTGTTGAATGCTGAGAAGAAACAGAGCTCTGTGGGCCAGAGGTAGTGGAGGGACATTGCAGAGACAGGAAGGGCCATCAGAGATGCTGAAGAAGAACTGGGGGAGGAAGAAGATCTCACATGTGGCAGGAATCTGGCCTCCCTTGGAGTACAGAAAATGAGTACACAAACCTTCATTTATTATTCTGGAAAGAAGGATGAACCAGGAGTTTGGAGACTTGGGTTTTAGCCTCTAGACTATGATTAACTAGCTGTGACTTTGAAAAAATTATTTAATTTCTCTGGGCCCGACTCACGTCTTTAAGATGTCTCTGGCCAGTCAAACACTGAGTAATTTTTCTTTGCAGAATTATCATGGCCTCATACAAAATGTCCCTTGGTACCATTGCTGGAATTGAGGTTTTGAGGTGGAATAATTCACGGTCTGACTTTGTCTGGTGTTTTTCAATCATTACTCATTCAACAGGGACTGAGCACCTATAAGTCGCCCAACACAGTACAGGGTCTCTGACACAGAGAGGTGTCACCTACTGCCCTGTTCTCAAGAAGTGCTTACAACTTTTCTCACAGTTCTTAATGGGAGGAAATCAAGAAGAGGAAGAATTGTTTGTTTGTTTTTCCTTTTGATCTCTCAGCTTGCGAGGGAGAAGGTCAAGGGAAAGAGTCTATAGCCTTTGACAAAATACAAATATCAAGAAAAAGAACAAGGTGAAATCCATCAGAATAGGATTTAGGACTGGTGGGCTTCTCGCTCTTTCTTGTAAGCATTCATTGAAAGCTAGTTCCTTCCCAACTCACCCATATATTTCCTTCTCATTCTTGCCTGTAATCACACACATGTATAACCTTGAGAACATTATCCTCATGTAGTCTATGACCTTTGCCTCATCCATGAGGTTTATTTTTAAAGCACGTGTTTTAATTCTGTTCAAAGTATAAATAGATTTTCACATACCAGCTCTTGCCAACAGAGCGTAAGTCGTTTCTTATCTAAAGTAGTTTGGTTCAACATCTTGGGCTTTTTTCCTGCTTCGGAGATAAAGGCACTAGAAGAAAAGAATAACAATTTTGAAGCCTACTTAGTGACAAATCCGTTTATATAATTCCAGAGATTTGCAAATATATTTCCTGCAATACAATGGAAAAGTTGATGAAGCCACAGAGCCAAGATTTTTCATTTAGGATTAAGCAATGATGCCCTAACTTTTGTAAGAGACAAAATGAGAAATTCTTTCTCATCTGGGCAAAACGATGACCAGGTTCTATATGGGTAATAGTGGATGTTTTTCCACTTTCTTTCAGTTCATATCTATTGTGATTGCTGTCCAAGTTCACAACAACAAACAAATTAATGCAGTTTTCCTCCATCTTACAAATTTAACATATACCAAAAGGTTCCTCAAAATTTGTGAAGCAAATATTTGAGACTCAGTACTGGAATATGTCTTCACATTTTTAAAACTGTACAAAGGACTTGAATGGTAACATTTTGAGGAATGAAGTTAAAAATGTGTTCAGTGGGAAAATGGTAAATGTTTTTAATGCAATGGAAGAAGAAATATAAATGGCTCAAAAACGTATAGAAATAAGATATTGTTCTAATTAGGGATAACGTAAATATAAATAAAAATCAACACCATTTTCATCTATTGAAAAATGTGATAATAGTCAAGGTTGATGAAGATGTGGGGAAATGGTCTCTCCCCTCTTTTATGTTAGGCAATTTGACAAAACATAAATGTCTACATAATTTGATGCAAAAGTCACACTAGAATCCTATCCTTCAAAATAACTGAAAATTTTGTAAGAATGTGTTTACACAGTTAATATTTACTGTGGCATTGTGTTTTTTTTTTGGTTTTTGTTTTGTTTTTAAGATTTTATTGGGGAATTGGGGAGGGGAACAGCGTTGGGGAATCGGAGAAGGGGAACAGACAAGTTGCTGTCCTTTTGTTCTTCAGTCTAGTTGTGGAGGACGTCACTTCACTGGCCCATGTTGGTATTATCATTGAGTTCTTCCTGGGTGAGGCAGTCGCTCACAGCCATTGGATGGCCACTCACAGCAGCTCATGAAAGTGCACGAAAGCTCACGCCCGCTGCAGGCCAGCCCAACTGCAGCCTACGCTGTCGCTGGTGACTCACGGCATCCCAGCTCCAGATCGAAATGTTGTTCACTATCTTAGCTGTAGAGGGCACAGCGTCACCGGCCCTCATGTGGGATCCGAATCGGGGCCCTACTGCTCAGAGCTGGCGTCCCAAGCCAACTCTTAACTAACACGCCACTCGGCCGGCCCTACTGAGGCATTGTTTACAGTAAAGGTTATGCATGCAATGGGAGAAGAAATATAAATGGCTCAAAAAGCTGCTGCTGGCTATGGGCAGCCTCTTCACCTCCACAAGGCTAATGGTCTGTCTCTTCTGGGGGAGGGAATCCCAAAATCCAGCTGCTCAGCTGTGGACTGGGGAGACCAGGAAGCGCAGTATGATCTTTCTCAAATCCAGATTTACCAAATATAAAACTAACGTTATCATCTCTGTCTGAACCTCATGAATATTTTTTCAGTGGATTGTAAACTTGAAAGCAGAATGATTATCACCCCAAGTAACCTTCTAATATAGAAAAGTTATTGAGCTATTAATTTGCCCACAGTTTCTAAAAATATGAGATCATGAAGCTTTTAAAAGATGCTTAAAAGGATTTGCAGGTGGTACTTAGCTCACAGCAGGAGCGGCACTGATATATATATATTGTTTCTACAATGAAAAACAAGAAAGAAATCAAGATGGAAAAACAAAACTACATATTTATGTCTTTGCTTTCCTATTTTGTTAAAGTAAAAATGCTTGGGTAGTTGAGAGATTCGCAAAGCCAGAACTTATAAAACAGAACACCAGAATTTCACTATCCCTGATCCACTAGTTATTGCCTTCCATCAAATGTATCTCCACCCCTTTTCCATTAATTCCATGATGACAAATTCTCAGTTTTGCTCCAGTCTTGACCTTGTTAACTTCAAGAATTGGTCCAAGTGTTTCGTTATGTGGTAGACAGCCTCTAAGATGACCCCTACCTCCTGTTCTTCTTGCCATTGTGTAATTCCCTCACTTTAAAGATTCTCTGGATATAATGACTTGCTCAGGATAGACAACATCAAGAGTGATGGGACATCACTTCTAAGATTGGGTCTGGGACTTCCATCTTGCTGGCATGTTCTCTAGGACTCTTCTCACTTGCTCACTCTGAGGAAGTCAGCGGTCATGTTGGGAGAGGTCGTTTGGAGAGGCCCACACTGCAAGGAATTGAGGCTGACTTCCAGCCAACCACTACTAAGGAACCGAAGTCCTCAGTACAACAGTCCATGGAGAACTGAATTCTGCAAGTAGCCATGTGCATGACCCTGGAAGCGAATCCTTTCCAGTTGAGCTTTGGTATACTGCAGCCTCAGATAGCCTCAGTGCAGTCTGTGAGAAGCTCTGAGCAAAGGACCCAGCTGAGCCACCCCTGGACTCACGGCCCACAGAAACTGTGAGATAATAAATATTGTGTTAATTCATGAAATTTGAGGGTTGCTACTCAGGAAGAGGTAGCTATACCCGATTTTTGGATCTTTTATTGCATTGTCCACCTCCTGGAAAAAGAGTCATTAATTAGTTCTTATTAATGTGTTACATGACAAATTAAATAGAGTTCGATATAATGTATCCATCTCATTGTCAAATAGTTGTTGAGTATCTGCCAAATGCAAAGAACCACTAACACTATCTGCATTTTTCTTGTTTCATAAAATGTCTCAGCAGTCTTTCTTTTTTTTCTCTTTTCTTTTTTTCCCTTTGCTTTGTGTTTTAGTTGTTTATGTGCTAGGAAGCAAGAGAGAGCCCACTACATTACTGAAAAAAATAAAGATGGGCATAACACTATAAAATGCCCATCTGAATGCATGTCAAATCAACGATTTTCTAAGGCAATTAAAAAAGCTGATTCTGTATAGTCTCAGCACCCCATACGCCGGCGGATACCTGCTTTGACTGATGAAGTCATTGAGCACCATCTTCATTTTCTCTTCCGGTGCTTCCTCAGAAATCTTGATCAATTCTTTCACTTCTTCTATACTCTCTTCCTGAAAACAAACCACCGAGGTGGAGGGGTGAGAGGTGGGAATGAGACATTTTTACATCCAAGAAATAATATTCAGCTATTTTTTTGTTTCAGAAATGAAGATTTCCTTCATTTTCTTGTGCCTGAACTGGGAAATGCTACTGCATGCTAACTTAGAAACTTCCTTTTCTTCACTAGAATTGGTTCAGATTCAAGTCTTCTCCTGTGTTGCTCAAGCTCATTGTTTCTGTCCTAGCGCCATTCCCTAACTCGGTACTATTTATTCAGCATGTACCCTATGGGGAAACCTAATGTCATGGGAAATACCTGACAAGGTAGAGTAAGTTAAATATAATTATCAAAAACGTCAAAAGCAATGTTCAAGTCAGTTTGTCCTATAGGAATATAATTATATTGACTAATCCCTGAGCTTAAAAGGCTATTGGTCCTTCTGATTATAGGGGTTTTGAGTCAGGGGTGAGGTGCTGGGGGAAAGGAAGACAGGTTGTGTATGGCAATGGCTGTATTTATATACTTAATAATTGTACTTTTCCTTTTGGGTCTAAATCTAGGATTACATTCAGTGGCTTGGAGGGAAATGGCACCCAAAGTACAATGTACATGTTGTGCGTTTTGCTAGAATTCATAAAAGCAACATCCTCTATCAGATGCCTAGGGACATGTTTTCCTCTTTCCCTGTTCACTGTAGGTACAGGCAACATGGTGGAGTGATTAAGGATTTAGGCTTGGGTCACACTACCTCCAAATGTGGACTCTATTGGGTGACCTAACCCTTTTAGGCCCAGTTTCCTCATCTATAAAATCAGATAATAATATTGGGTTGTCAGAAAAGTCATGACGTATGTTTTCGGTTTTTCGTTGCAAAAATGGGTCATGACTTTTCCGACAACCCAATAGTACCCGCCTATAGCACCATACAAAGGTGTGAATTTCTTCAAACAGTGCTTGGTGCTTAGCAAACACTCAACCAGGTTAGCCATGATATGCCAAGCATGGCAGGGGTCCTGACACTGAGAAAGTTGTGAGAAACAAGTGCTACAGGCTACCATAGCCACTAGGACTAAATTCTGGTTTGGTTTTGTCAAGCCTTTTAGAAATCAACTATCTATCTTGCCTGAAGGAGAAGCAAGACCAGCCTTACAAAGTGAGTCTGTGGCCTCCGCATGGGGTGACATGACACCCAACTGGGGCTCCACAGCAGGCTTCAGACTCTACCTCCATGAAGTCCCATGGCCAGAGGCAATGCTTTGTTTTACACAATTAGAGACAGGATTATAATGCAAATAGGGGAGAGAAATCTGGTCTTTCTTAGGGTGGATTTTTGTGGAATGAGAGGGATAATGCAAGAATCATCTGGTAAGGCATTATGGGACAGAGTAGAGGACAACATCACGAGATGTGTGGGGTGGAGAGAAATGTGAGAGCTGGGAGAAGCAATCACAAAGGGAAGGTGCAAGATACCGAAGAAGCAGAGCTCCCAGGCTGTCTTTCCTCCCTGGCGGTTGGGTGGAGCCACCTACATTTATTGCATATTGACACTGTTTTCAATAGTTTCATATACCGTATTTCCCCATGTATAAGGCGCACCCTTTTTCGAAAAACTTGGGGTTTAAAAACTGGGTGTGTCTTCTACAGTGGTTGTAGATTTTTTTTACTTGCATTTGACAGTGATGGGGAGTTGTATGAATTTTCTGATGAATAAAGCTTGAGTTCAATAACTTTATGTAATACATTTTTTTTTTCAAATTTCGGGCCCCAAAATTAAGGTGCATCTTATATATGGGGAAATATGGTATTCAATTCCTCAAAGAATTCTTTAACCCCTCTCAGGAGCCAAGCATTATTCTAGATGCCAGAGAACAGTGGAAAATGAAAAATAAGCACACAAATCAATTGTAAATTGTGGTAAGAACTGTGTATTATGGGAAACCATGAGGGAGAGGCGATCAGAATGCTTCTCTGAGGAAATGCCTGAACCTGAGCCATGGAGGTTGACTGTTACACAGGAGAGGTGAGGAGGGGAAAGCAGCCCAGGGAGAGGGAGTGACATGGAGGTGGCTATGAGACATAAAGGTATTTGGTTTCTTCGAGAAATTGAAAGGAGACCACTGTGCTTGGAATAAAGTCAGGAGGAAGGGCGTGTGAGAGCTTGGATGGGAGAGGCACCAGGGCCTGATCTTGTAGGAAACTGTCCACCATGTTAGGGACTTAGGATTTTAAATTAGTTGAAGCCAGGATTGATCAGTTTTGTGAGAAAGTTGACAATCCTGCCCTTTGGAGATTAGGAAAACAACCTGCCCTAGGTCCTCTACCAGTAAGAAGCGGAACTGGCATCTGAATTTGGATGGTTTGATTTAAAGTCCAAGGATTTTGCAAGATGTATTCTCGTCCCGCTAGGTCCACATGGTAGGAGTCACATATTCTCCAAACATATCAGCCTCAACATATTTATGTTTAAGCTGAGGTCAAGACCCTCCTCTGGGTAGATAAAAGAAATCCTTTTGCCTCCCAATGTTCAAACCCATCACCTGTGAGAGTTACCTACCAGCAGGTCCGCCATTTTCTCCAGCATGTTGGACCAGTGCAGCCTAAACGTCTGGTCTCCCCAAGAACTGATGAAATAGACACAGGGCTTTTTAGCCTCAAATGGCAAGTAGTTGTAATTCCTGTGAAAACACGTTAGGTCTGGAAGTTAGTAGAGAATCAGTGTTTTTCAGGAAATTCCAGCCACCTGTTTATGTTTTGTATGTTCTTTGTGGGGTGGGGGAGGAATGATGATAAAACTATCAAACTATTAATTTCATCCTTAGTCTATAACTGGGGATGCACGAACAATAAACCATGAACAGTTATGTGGTTCCAATGGAGAGGCACTCACAGCCACCACTCTCAGACCCAAGACAAAGATTAGAAATGATCACCAGAGGGCAGGATTTATCAGGCATGCCTTCTTCAAGGAGAAAGATTTTAAATTTAGAGAGGAAAAAAGGGAGAAAACTAACATTTTTCCTTTAATGACTATAGGCTAGGCACTCTGTAGGAATTGACTGAGATAACAGATGTGAATGCCTTTGTAGCTGAAATTGTTAGAGGAATTTAAGACAGTAAAAAAATAATAAGGATGAAGTACCTCAAATTAAACTTCAGCATTCCATGGCTCACCATCCGTCCGTCTGTCCATCCATCCACCCATCCACCCGTCCATCCATCTACCCATTTATCCATCCATCTACCATCCATCCGTCCATCCATCCATCCATCCATCCATCCATCTGTCCATCCATCCATCTATTCATCTGTCCATCTGTCCATCCATCCACCCATCCACCCATCCATCCATCTACCCATTTATCCATCCATCTACCCATCCATCTGTCCATCTATCCACCCATCTACCCCATCCATCCATCCATCCATCCATCCATCCATCCATCCATCCATCCAATATTTATTGTTGTCAGGCATTAGTGCTAATAATGTAGGTGGCTCCCCTGGCTAAGAAGAGACAGGAAGGATGACAAAGTAGCTAGAAGGGGAGGTGTGGAGCCAAAGAGAATTTTGAGGGTGATTGTTGGATATGATTAAATACTGATAAGGAAAGGACAGCTAACAGGATGAGATTGAAGACAGGAAAGAAGGAATTAATTTGTAAATTTCAGGTCCCTCAGAGGAAAGGGATGGGTGGGAAGGCAGGTAAGGTGGGAGAAGGGCTGCAAAAAGCTGAAGTTCCCTGCCTCTCGACAGCTATATTCTTAACTAGGTTTTCCCCACTTATCCCATCCCCCACCCCTGTTTTTTCCCACAAACACCCGGAAGGTCAAAGCAAATTTCTTGAAATGGGCACAGACAGTATTTGGAGTCACATGCATAGAGGGGTAAAAAGGGGGATGGGGAAGGAGAGAGAGAGAGAGAGAGAGAGAGAGAGAGAGAGAGAGAGAGAGAGAGAGAGAGAGAGAGAGAGAGAGAGAGAGAGAGAGAAAGAGAGAGAACAAATAAGAGAGAGAGAAAAAGAGACAATTTTGTTTGCATTCCAAAAAGCTAAAGAGAACTTTAGCCTGAAAGATGCATGGTTCTTTTTAGCTCTCCAACCCGAACTTCTTTTGGAGACCATAAAATTAGCAGAGCTGCCCCATGGACAGTTCTGCAGAAAATAAACCAGCAGGTGTCCATTCAGAAGCGAAGCCAAATAAATTCTTGGCAGAAACTGAGGTTGTGATTACAGCAGGAGAACAAAACAAGAAAGTAAAAAAGGTTAGGAACTAAGCTGCTCTTTTTTTTAATCTCCTTTTAAAATTATTACACTCAGAATCCTGCAACTGAATAAATTCCCTCTCAGTGCTGTACTGCTCCAAGGTTTCTTTGGTTTGAATTATTTTGTGCTAATGATGTTCAAGACCTTTGTCTCTTTGGTTCCCAGGGTCCTCCTGGTCTCCCTGAGTCTGCGTGGACCAGGCTGCTGTGGTTTCTCAGGCGAATTACAGTGCAGATGGAGGACAGCAGATGGGAGGGCATGGTGCTGCCCGTGAAAAGAGAAGACTGCCAGTGTGAATGGCTGTGCTGACACATGACCAGCTTTGTGGCTTTCGGCAAGCACAGGCTGGAATCCTGAGACTCAAACGATGACCCATCGTTAGCTGTCTTGTGCGCCAATCTCATTCCTGAGCTCCAGCCCAACACATAAATTGTATGTGAGTGCGTGTGCTTTGTAAAACTGGAAACCCAGAACAAACATAAGATGATATTTTAAGTGGCATGCTAAACCACCCCTGACAAGGTGGTATTTTAATTGAGGCAACAGACAAATCCATTGTGTGTGTGTGCACACGTGTGTGTGGTCACTGCATGTCCATGTGCATGTGTGTGTGGGTGTGTATGTGTGTGCGTGCGCGCTCATGTTTGTAGGGATTATTATAGACATAGGATCTTCCAATTCAGTTGCTGTCACCCAGGCTTGTCACTATGTGGACAGGGCCTCAGTATAGTGACTGAGAAATATACAGAAAGCCCCCAAAACACCAGCATGACTTATTCTGGTCTCCTTGAGCCAGCCGGCCAGCACCAATATGAGGTTCATCTGAGGGTGCCTGGAGACCTTCTTTTCCCAAGCCTTTCCCATATCCCCTGACATTCTCACCAATAGACAACAATAGGCTAGCCCAGGGGTCGGCAAACTGAGGCTCGTGAGCCACATGCGGCTCTTTGGGTACGTCGTTCCATCTCAAAAGTTTGCCGACCCCTGGAAGAGCCAATCCTGTTCCTCACAACAATTTAAAAATTATTCGAGAGCCATAAATATATTTTTACATAGTCACCATTATGTGAATAATATCCTTCAAAAATTTTATAAATGAAACTGATAGTTTTATTTTCATTTTTTTGTTTTACTTCAGAGGCTCACGAGCCGCAGTTTGCTGACCCCTGGCAGCTCTTCCGTCTCAAAAGTTTGCCGACCCCTGGGCTAGTCCAACAAGGTCGGGGGTAGTTCTCCCTGCCGGGTTGCAGTGAAAGGACGCAAGATACTTCTGATGAGGCTCCCAGAGCTGCAGATCCAGTTACAGGATCCACTCATTCATGTCCTCAATTTTGAAAACGGATGGAGGAGCCATTAAAAGGCTGGGAAATTTGGGGTTCTTTTTGATGTGTGTAAAGGAGGACAGACAATCAAGCATGGTTGTCAGGAAGTCAAAAAAGACCCCAAAGAAGGGGGTCCATGGGAGGGACAGGATTTAGAAAATGTAGGACATACTCAGAAATGAGAGGGCCGCCGCGAGGATTATTTTTACTTACTCTTCCTACTTTGTCCCAAACACTCTTTCTCCTTCCCTTAAGCCCCTTCTCATCCTTTAGGATGCCACCTTTTCGGTGACCTTTCCCTACTCTTTACCTCCTCCCCAGGCAGAGTAAGTCACTCACCCTCTCTATGCCCCCATAGTACCCTGTGCCCACCCCAGTTACAGCAACTCCTTAACTCCACGTGATAAACAGGTACATGGGTGAGTAAGACACAAGCCCTGCCCTTAGAGTGTCACAGCCTAGCAGGGAGACAGACAAGTAAAAGCATCTTCATGCAGTGTGATTAGTGCTTGAAGGAGGTGAGTCTAGAAATCCAAATCAGACTTGAGATTCAGGGAAGGGAACTCAGGCTTCATCCTGAAGGGTCATGGGAGCCAGCGGGTCTGAGGAGACGTGTTGCCTGGCAAAGGAAAGAGCATGTTTAAAAGGCCCAGGAGCAGCAGAGAGCAGGATGCGTTTGGGGAACTGCCAGGGCCATTCTGTGGCTGGGGATGATGGTAGAGAAGTAAATAAGGATTGAATAACAAGCCACGGCCTCTGAAATTCATCCTGAAAGCCACAGGCAGCCAATGGATGATATCAGTTAGGGGAGTAACTGGTTCAGATAGTTTGGTAAATTTCTTGAAGAACATCCAAGCCAGGTAGAAGGTTTTTTAAATAATCCAGGTGAAAACGCCAACAGCCAGAATGAAAGGAATGGCAATAGATATGAGAAATACATATGAACTAGAAATTGCCAGACTTTAGCACTGGTCACATGTGGAGGAGAAGGAAAAAGAACAATTGACAACTTTCCGATTTGTGGCTTGGAGGACTAAGGAGATGGTAGGGCCAGTCTATGAGATAGGAGAGATAGGAGGAAGAGCAAAGCTGTCTGTGCAGATAATGAGCCTGGTGATTAGTTTATGAGATGCCCAAGTGAAGGGGTTTGGGTGTGCTGCTCAGGAAAGACGGTTCAGTGGGGAAATTGATTATGAGACCTTGTTTTCCTAACAGTGGTCAGTAAGCCATGGGTCCATGCCCAGAGAGAGTCTAGATCAGCGGTTCTCAACCTTCCTAATGCCGCTACCCCTTAATACAGTTCCTCATGTTGTGGTGACCCCCCCAACTATAAAATTATTTTCGTTGCTACTCTATAACTGTAATTTTGCTACTGTTATGAATCGTAATGTAAATATCTTTTTGTTTTCCAATGGTCTTAGGCGACCCCTGTGAAAGGGTCATTCGACCCCCAAAGGGGTCGCGACCCACAGGTTGAGAACCGCTGGAAGAGCAGAGAGATTGAAGAGCACTGGTGATGTGGTTCCAATCTCCTTGCATGTAAATGGGGAGAACAATGTTGTCTTATGAGAATCCGCAGAGATCATAAAGATGCTACTCTTAGCACAAGGCTCAGAACACAGAGGGCTCTCACTATGTGTGGCCTGCCCTTTTTCTCATAAATCACTTGGTTGGTGCTTGACGCCACTTTCTTAAAACAGAATTTTATCATTTTACTTATTTTTGCATGTTGAAATTTTACATGGATTAAGGATCAGTGAGGGTACACATAGGTGTCCCAGCTGTTTTCTGAAAGTCTCCTGGGGCTGACAATTGTTTTTTGAGTTCTTAATTTTGACTGTAGCAAAATATAATAAAAATGATGTATTCAATAATTCCACTAAATTGAGTTTACATAATAGCACAGAACTCTGATGAATATTAACAACTGTTAATAGGTTTTGGGTTGCAATTTCAAATTCTGACCTTCCTACCTTGTTATGCCTCAACATTATAGAATAAAGGGGGCTTCGGATATGATATTAATAGCCACCATCATTGATCTGCCTTTAAATGAATTACCTTCATGTATCATTTGGAGAATTGTCGATATGTCACTAAAGGATTTAATAGTGTGGCACTTACTATGTTGCCCGTTCGCACTTGCTCCCATAACAGAGATTTTAATAAATGATATTTCTGGTTTTAGGGAAGAACTGAATCAAACAGTCCCAGATATTGGTCAGATGCCCACTGCCAGAAACTGCTGCTTCTGCTGTGTCTCCTACCTGTTCCCTTCTGTCACGAGTGGCTTCTCTGGGTGAGTGGTGGAGACCATAGGGATGACAGCCTCATCCCTTTCTCCTTCGTGCAGCAGTGGAAGGCTATCTTCTTCAGCTGATTCGGCTGACTTCTTCTTACTCCCATGATGGGACCCTCCGTCAATCAAGTTCCCAAAATTACCTGCAGAAGCAGTAGCAAGGGGATAGGGGTCAGGTGTCAACAAGCAGAATCAGGCTGGTTGGCATAAAGGATCCAAGTTCATGTCCTCCAGGGCAGGGAAATATGATCTCAGTATGAGGGTGGAAAGAACAATGGGCAGACCAAAGAAATAAGACTGGCAATGACAACGAGCCTTCATGTACATCCATGTTATGCTCTCTTTTGTAAAATTTACTTAAGTTACAAATTAACGGGATTCCATCCCTATTTCTTTCTTTGAAGGGGAGCTTCTTGAATACGAATCAAGACATTCTCTGAAGGAATGTCCTTTCTTGGAATGATTTTCCCAGAAGTACAACAACCCAGGGAAATTGCTGGGAGTTACAATAACAGCACCTACTATGTGTATGGCACCTTGCCTGCATTAACTCATTAAATAAACCCCTGCAATGGCTCTATGAGAAGTTATCATTATTTCTATTTTATAGATGAGGAAACTTGAGACCAGAGAACTTAAGTGACCCTAGGATAATGGAAGCAGGATTAGTAACCCAAGTCTGATTGAGTCCAAGCTATACTTTTAACCTATTTTTTGAGGTATGAAAATAAATCTATCCCTTACATAGTGACACAAGAGGACAAAAAATTATTGTTTTCTGAGGTACAAACTTCCACCAGAATGCTATCATTTCCACATGAGGCTCTAATTTACTTATTCAAAAAATGGGTACAAAGTCCACACCATGTGCAGGCACTGCGTTTGTCTGCACTCACCAATAGAAACTTCAAAGCTAATGGGTTTATCGCCAATCCTCCGGTCAATCATGCTAGCTTCGAAAAATGCTCCAAAGAGTAAAAATTCCTCATATTTTTCTGGTACAATCTATAGAAAGAAAAAAGAAAAAAATAGGTATATTAGACAAGACTAGCTTTTTTGGGGTGGGGTGGGGGGTGGCAATCATTAGGAAGCTGATGTTAACCTGGTCCAGGGTAATTTGCAGGCATTTGAGTCTTGGTGTCAGCCTGAAATGGCACATTATTTTCCCACTAATCTGACAGGCAGGAACCAGGACCTGCAGCCTGCAAATTGCACATCTAAATTCAGCCATTTACCTAGAATGATGTAGTCTCAGCCTTCTGAGCTTCTGCCTTATAATAAAACCTTTTGTTTTAAAGGGTAAACTTGGCATATATGTCTTTCTGAGACTCTGTTGGGAAACAGGCATGGAATTACCTTCTGGTGAACAGGCATTGAGAAGGCATAAAACCAAAGATGAGATACTCAGAGTCACAGGATTAAACCCTTACACATGAGCATATTTGTTCCTTTTGACAATATCGAGAGGTCAAAATTTGGGTCATTCCCATTGTACAGATAAGGAAACTGAGGACACTAAAGCTTGAGATAGAATTAATAACTTTCCCGAATATTCTGACCACAGATCCAGTGCTCTTTGAACTCTAATGTGTGTTAACCCAGTGCCTTATGTGATCATTCAAAGTCAGATTTTGCTCCCTCAAATAACACAAGCCCCAATAAAAGGGGTGGAGGGTCAGGCACTTGACTGGCTAAATGATAGCCTTGAAGGTAGAGTTATCTTGGTTGTAGTTCTGTAGTTTTCATCATTTTAAACATTTCCTGCCAATCCCTTCTGGCCTGCAAAGTTTCTGTTGAGAAATCAGCTGATAGTTTTATGGGAGCTCCCTTGTAGGTAACTTTTCTCTTGCTGCTTTTAGGATTCTGTCTTTGTCTTTAACCTTTGGCATTCTAATTATGATGTGTCTTGGTATGGGTCTGTCTGGGTTCACCTTGTTTGGGACTCTGTACTTCCTGGGTTTGTATGTCTATTTCCTTTGCCAGGTTAGGGGAATTTTCTGTCATTACTTTTTTAGTTTTCAACTCTTTACTCTCTCTTCTCCTTCTGGTACCCTTATGATGTGAATGTTGATATGCTTGATGTTATACCAGAAGGCCCTTGAACTATTGTCACTTTTTTAGGGGGATTCTTTTTTGTTGTTGTTGTTCTGATAGGGTGTTTTCTGCTACCTTATCTTCCAAATTGTTGATTCAATCCTCTGCTTCATAAAATCTGCTGATTTCAGTTATTGTATTCTTCATTTCTCACTGTTTTTTTTTTATGTTTCTATCTCCTCTTTTTTATTTCTGATCTCTTTGTTGAAGTTCTCACTGAGATAACTGAGCATCCTTATAACCAGTGGTTTGAATTCTGAATCTGGTAGGTTGCTGGTCTCCATTTTGTTTAGTTCTTTTTCTGGAGTTTTGTTCTGTTCTTTCGTTTGGGACATGTTTCTTTGTCTCTCATATTGGCTGTTTTCCAGTGTTTGTTTCTATGCATTAGGTTGAATTGCTATGTCTTCTGGTCTTAGTAGAGTGGCCGTATGTAGTAGGTTTTATGTGGGGCTCAGTAGTGCAGTCCTCCTGGTCACCTGAGCCGGGTGCTCCAGGTATGTCCCTTGTATGGGTAATGTGTGCCTTCGTGTTGTAGTTGAGCTTTGGTTGCTGTTTGTACATCAGTGGGAGGGGTTGACCCTTAGGCTGATTGGTTATGAGAACTGGCTATGACTACAGTGGAGTAGCTATTGTGCAGGGACTGACCCTACAGAGCAGGATTCGCTTTAGCAGGGCTCTGGTGCCTGCCAAATCTGACCTTTGGGTGTGTCATTTGTGGAGGTGGTTGGGTGGTGGTCTGGTGTGGTCTGAAGCTGGGCCCTGGCTGTGTGGTTCTAGGGCCTCTTGAGAGGGGCTCTGTTGCAGGCCAAGTTCAGCCACTGTCTGTGCCCTTCCCTGAGCCACTTGTTATGAGCTACACAATGATCTGCAGATGGTTGCCACTTGTGCTAGACTTGGAAGTTCCTGGGAGAGGCTAAGCTGTGAACCAAGGATGGCTGCCACTAGTGCCAGGCTTGGGGCTGCTTAGCAAGACGAATGGGGCAAACTGAGGCCAGATGCTGCTTATTTGGAGTTTGTGAACCTTTGAGAGATTTTAGAAATTTCCACAGCATGAGCCAAGCCAGGACATTTCCATGGAACAGCCATTAGAAGAGGCTTGGGTGGGCCCACAAGTTGGGTGGGGTGGGTGTCAGGAAATCACCAGGGACAGGTGAATTGTGTTAGTCAGTTTGATGTAAACTAAGATATGGTGGCCACCTTCATCTGCATGCTGGGGAGTGGGACGAGCTCAACAAAGGAACAATGACCTCTGTCAGCACTTCTGTCTGGGAGATAGCTGCCCCTCTAACCCTCACCTTGAAGCCAGATAATTCAGTTCCTCCCTTTAGTCCCTGGTGCCTTTCAAGCTGCTGCCTCAGTGCTGGAGCTCAGAGTGAGTGAGTCCATCATCGAGTAAGTCCATGTACAGGCCCTTTAAGAGGAACACCTGGGTCTGCAGCCACTCTAGTCTCACCTAGCCACAATTTCCTCTGGTTTTCACAGTCAGAAGTTATAAGGACTTCTCTTCCTAGCCCTAGAACCCTTGCCTGGGGATCCTGGTGTGGGGCTGGGACCCCTCACTCCTCCTCAGGGGGGACCTCCACAGCTGAGATATCCCTCCTGATTTTTGGATGCCACACATGAGTGTGGGAACAGCCTGTTTCACATCTGCCCCTCCTACCAGTCTCAACATAGCTTCTTCTTTGTATCCTTAGTTATAGGACTTTGGTTCAGCTAGTTTTCAGGTGGTTCTCAATGATGGTTGTTCTGTAGTTTAGTTGTAATTTTTATGTGGTCATGAAAGAAGGCAAGCATAGCATTTACCTACTTTGCCATCTTGACCAGAAACCCAACATAAACTGCTTTTACATTGAAAAGGGCTTTAGAGTTCATCTGCTCCAACCTTTACCTTTTACCTGAATTAACTAAAGCTCAGAAAGAGTAAGGTCACACAGTAAGTTAAAACTGCCAAGATTTGAGGCCTGGTCTCCACTGAGACTACCTTCTCCAGGAGCCTGCATTCTGGAAGATAGGACTGTGACAGGTGTTAACCTAAAAATAAAAAGCCAAAGTGAGAGGCAACAAATGTTTACTCGAGATCCAAAAGAGTTGCAATTCTGGGATGAACTGATTCAGGCAGAAATCAAAATAGTGTTCGATTATGGGGTGAAGGCAAGGGTTTTTTAACACAAAGGAAAGGAAAATCATTAAATGAATAGAAGGAAGAAATTTTTATTGGTGTTAATAACCTAAGTTATCCTTTAGCTATAGATGGCTATTTACTGATCTAAAGAACATTTTTAATTTTCAGTCCTTGTAGTCTGAATATCACCTTTCCTCTTAACTTTACAAACAGATCAGAAGGCAATGCTTCTCTGGCCCCATCCAAAGGTTGTTTTGCCCAGGTCAAACATTCCAAAGTTTCAAGGAGTAAGACGTGCAAGTCAGCGCCTCTGGAATGGCTGCCCTGACTCCATTTTCAAAATGGCTCCACTTATACCAACTTCTCACACAGGTCACAAGACAGGAGCCATACCAAGATAATACATAACTATTTGCAAATTACACTTATTGACATGGAACAGGCACTGATGCTTCAGGGAACAGATATAGCTGGGACACGGTGACACATTTCTGAGCAAAGAGGCTGAATGAACTGGAATCGTACAGTGTGTGCTTCCTGGTTTTGTGGTTGAACTTATTAAATTCAATGGAAAAAGCAATATGGCTCATTTAAGGATTAAAGCACTTGTGACCTCAGAGGTTAAGAGCCCTATTCAATCAAGAACCCTAAGCCCTGAACCTCAGAGAGCCAAAGAGTTATCACATCATTAGGTGAAGAGTCACCCCTTCCTTCACACAGAAGCCTCCTGTGCTCTCAGCATCAGCAGGAAATGTTTCTTTTCACCAGAAAACATTGGACAGGGTGGGGGGCCAGCTGCTGAATCTTAGTCACAGAGCACACACCCCTCCTACCTGTTGTCACTGTATCCACTGGCTGTAAACCAGTCACTTATCTCGCCTTCCTGAGGCCAAGTTTACTTTCTGGGAGGAGGATAAAAATTACTCAGGGACCTGGAAGGAATGTAGGCCATGTAGCTTAAAGACGGCCAGAAGGCTCCGTAGCCAGAAAAACGCTTCTTCAAATCCCAATGCTGCTAGTTCCTAGCTGTTGAACTTTGGGCAAGTCATGTCCACTCTCTGGGTGCCACTTTCTTTGTCTGTGAAATAACATCACAATAGGGCCTACGGTGGGAAGAAATGAGATCATTCATGTGGAGTACCTCGTCTAAAGCATATCCATGTAAATGCCACAAATGGTAGTTCTGTATTTCAACAGGATAGAATTCATGTCTTAATCCTACCCATGCTTCAAGGTCCAACTCAAATGCCTCTTCCTTCTGGAAGCACACTTCGACTCCCTGAGCTGGAAAAATGATAGTGATAATGTTTACTAAGCTTCTATTATATGTCAGATGTGGTAGTAAGAATTTTACCTACAATATCTAGTGTAATTCTCATGACTATGTTAGGAGAAATATATTTATTATACTCATTAAAGGTGAGGACACTCCTGTCCCATGAAAGATTAAGGTACCTGTCCAAAGCTACTAAGCATGTCTAATATTTATTGAGCACCTACTATGTGCCAGGCTCTGTTTTAAGCACTTTCTATGTATTAATTCATCAAATCCTCATTATGAGCCTAAGAAGTAGAAGTTATTATTAGAAATGAGTATAAAAAGCTTAAGTCACTTGCCCAAAGATTCAAACAGAGGCAGTGCTTTTTCCAGAGGCTGGGCAGTGACCACTGTACCATACTGCCGTGTCTTAAATCCAGCTGTCTTACTTGGGAGCCCAACATTTTAATCATTCTGCTTCACTCACTCCAGGAAATAATAGCACATTATCTATACCTCCTTTTTACACTTATCACTTTCTACTTCCTGTACATTTATTCCGTATGTCTTCCCTACTCTTCTATGACCTAATTTCCACGGAGCCACTCTATTTTTATTTCTACCAATGTTGAGGATGATGGCTAAATAAGAGGCTACTGAATAAATGTCCACAGAATTTAAAAATAAACATTAGATTAGTTATGCTCTGTGAAAGTTTGGCATGGGGGATAAGCTTTGATGGTGGTAATGAGGGTGGGTTGGAAAAGTCAACATCATGGGATTGCATTTGTCCAGATATACAATGAGATCGTGGCTGCAGCAAGGGAGACTGGAGCTTGAGGACCCTGGATAGCTGAAAAAAGACGATGCTGCAAGAAAACATATCACCATGTAGGTGAGGGTGAGCTCTGAGCTGTTGAGGCTCTGAGGAAGGTAGAAGCCCACTGCGGTGGTTTAAAAATGTCTAAAAATTATTGGAAAATCTTCCCCTCAAAAGGCGAAGCCTAATTCCCCTCTCTTTGAGTGTGGGCTGGACTTAATGACTGCTTTGTAACAATTAGAATGTGGCATAAATATCAATATGTGACTTTTGTAGGTTTGGTCATAAAAGACATTATAGTTTCTGCCTCACTCTTTCTTGGATCACCCCTCTGGGGGAAGCCAGCTGCCATGAGGACACTCAAGCAGCTTATGGAGGGGTCCACGCAGTGAGGCACTGAGGCCTCTTACCCACAGCCAACAAAGAACCAATAGCCAATAGGTTGAGAGTGCGCCATTTTGGACTTGGACCCTGCAGCTCCTGTCAAGTTTTCCGGTGACAGCAGCTCCTACCAACGTCCAGATTGAAACCTCATGAGAGATTCTGAGCCACGACCACCAAGCTGAGATAGTCCCAAATTCCTCACCCACAGAGAAAATACATGTTTATTGTTTTAAGCTGCTAAATTTAGGGGTGATTTGTTTTATAGCAATAGATAACTAACAAACTCAGCAAGAAACTGACTACAAAAAAATAAGCCAGGGTGAATGAGGAGTGAGGAGAAATAAGGTTTGAATGATGCCTGAATTTCCCCCCTTCCTTACCACTTTCTATATAATAGCTAAGATGGGCCCCTGGCCTTGTAAAAAAAATATATACTGATTCCACATAAGTTCCCAGCCATCCTTGTTTTGGGCTAGAATTTATTTTTCAGGTGGCCGCAACAAAATATCTTCAAGATATTGACTTGGGTTAAGAAAATCTTCTATTGGCTTCTTTCTACAATACTAGGCAATTCTTGTTTAGAAAAGAATGGCCAGTCTTGACAGCAGGAAAGATTGCCACAGGACAGATAAAAGGGCTATTAGCCTAGGTGGCTACTAAGCTACACACAATTTCTGGCAAAGTCCAAAAAAGTCAAGTTTCCAAAGCTGGCATATATTCTGAAGAAACACACATAAACACAATCATGCCAAGGCTATGGCAATTCTAACAACAAACTAACACGCACATTTCCAAAGACTGTTTCCCAACATATAAGTTCAGAGGGGAGAGCTGGGGTGGTTGGTAAGATACCCGAAGTAAGTCACAGACACCTAGGGGGGAGAACTCTGAAGAGCTGCCCACTGGTGGTGGGAGCAAACCCGGGTAATTCCAGGAGCAACAACAGCGATGTGTTACCTGCCTATCACGTATGTGCTCACAGCTCTGCTGACCATTTTACATGCATTCCTTCATTTACCACCCTCCCAGATGCCTATGACAGAAGGACCATTACCACCCCCATTTTGTTGACGAGTAAACTGAAACGTGGTGTTAGTATCAGAGCCAGAAATAGAACCAACCCCCAACATTTCCAACTCTGTGCTCCAACATCTCCCCAACACTGCGTCTTAAGATTTGTTAGATCCCAGCAGCGAAAACAAATGGCCTTCCAATGCTATGGTGACCCACATGCTACAATCCTTCGGTCTGTCTAATCTCCCCTAGGAATGGACAGCTCTGGGAGACGAGCCATCATCACCTTCCTTCCCCACCTGAGATGATTGTCGGGTTGACCACAGAAACACACTCTCAGAGGCAGAATCATGCTAGGTAGGAATTGGGATCCACCCACCTCTGCTATTAACAAAACAAGAATTTTTCTCCTTTGCTTAAATACAAAGCACTATTGCTAAACTGTTAAACAGCGGAGAGGATATTCACAGTTGGTGTTTATCTTGGAGGCTTGATCTCCTTCCCATAATAAAACTAGGCTGAAAAATGCTAATGTGCTTTACATTGAGTAATAAGCAAAGATAAGCATTCCCTTGACTTGTGATTCCCCACAGGCTTGGAGAACAGGTTTCTCAATGTCTTGTAGCCCCACTTGTCACCCACTCTTCCTCCTCTTCATCCCTCACCCCACATTGCCTCACATCCAGAGCATATGCTAAGCTAATAACAAGGCAAAAAAAAAGTGAGGCCACAGATATAATTCCGTTGATCACCCCGCCACCCACTCCCACCAGCTTCCCTAGAACACTCTTATCTGTCTTTTACCTTGGTTTCCATGGGAATCATGTTGTGGGGGGTTACTGAAGGAATTTATCACGGGCACATGGCTATGATATGCTCAGCAAGAGGCAGAGGACCCGCCCCAGAAAATGGGCTGAGCCAACACACATTTTGCAGGGAGAGTGGTACCTGTGCAGGCCTTTGGGAACCTTTGGGAGCCTGTGGCGTGTGCTGGGCTCACCTCACAGGTGTGGTGGAGCAGTGCTCAGACCTACCTCTGGGGGTACATCGAAAGGTTCCACCTCGACCTCTGTTGAGTTGGTTTTGTTTGAAGCCTGCTGGGGTTTTCCATCATCAGCCTTGTCGCCCTTGTCTTTACTCGAGCCTTTGGAAGATCTGGAGTCTTTGTTCTTTGAAGACAACTTGAGGTCCTTGAGTGCTTTGGAAAATTTAGACTCCTGTGCCCCTCCTGAGAGGATTTCTACAGCAATTTCTACCAAGATTCTGCCCCTGAATGACACGCCTTCCCCAAAGCCTTCATTGAGTTCCTGGTAGTCGTCCATCAGGCTGTGGTTCCTGGGTGAGCCGTATAAGTTAATCCAGGCAGGTCCAAAGGTAGGTAAGAAGCCTAGAAAGAGCCCCAAATTTAGTGGTCTTGTTATGTTTACAAGTTGATTATTTTTTGCTTTATGCAAGTTGTGCATGTTCCTTTAGAAATGTAGACTATACAGAAAAGACAAGAGAAAATATATGTAGGATATCCCATCACCACAAGACAGCCATAATTGCCATTTTGTTGTATTTTATTTCTACCCTTTCTTCCGTGCAGATGCTTACACTTGTTCATAGGTGTAATAATACTATGAATGCCACTGTGCATCCTTGTCTGTTCATTCATTCATCGAATGTTTATTGGCTCCTAACATGTACCAGGCGCCATGCTAGACATTCTACATTGAGCCCAGTGGAGACTAAGACAGATACAAACATTAAACAAATAAAGATCTACATTATAGATGCTATAAAGGGGATATACCGTGTGTGCAAGAACAAATAAAAGGCTGATGTGGCGTGAAGAGGAGTTAGACAGAGGAAGCTGGGACAGAGTTCCAGCCAGAGGGAACAGCACGTGGCAGCTGGAAGGGGGGTTGGAGATGGAGGCGCTGAAAGAGAAAGCCAGTGAGGCCGGAAGTAAGCTGTGTGAGAAGAGTTTGCAAAGGTGGGCGGGTCTTGAGAGGCTTGAAGAGGATTTTGGTCTTTATCCTAGAAATTACGGAAATATTTTAGAGGGGGTTTAAGTAAATATATGACATAATCAGATGCACATTTTAAGATCACTCTGGCTGCTATGTGAATGGTTGTGAGAATGGATGTGGCAAATGGGTCCGGGGACCACATCATCATCAAATCCAAAGACTCCGGTGGTTTCTAGAGTGACGGCAGTGGACACTGGGAGACGTAAATATTCTGAGATATGTTCTCAACGTAGAACTGAGAAGACCTGATGATTTTAACTTGTTGTTAGTATAAGTACTTTCCTTTCTAAACACATAGTGTCTGAGAAAATACACAGCATCTATGTGAACATCTCTTTGGCAACAGCATGTTCTGTTTTGCTAGGAAGTGAGTCATGGCCATCCTGAAGCTTAATGGCCTGGGTTCAAGTCTCAACTCTCAGCTGTGCCATTTTCAAGCTGTGAGACCCTGGGCAGGTTTTATAACTTCCCTATGCCTCAGTTTCCTCATCTGTGAAGTGGAGGTGCTAATGGTGCCTCTCTCACTTATCAGGATTAAAAGAGATAATAATATCTATTAAGTGCTTCACACAGGCTCTTCGGAAGCGCTCAAGGCTATTAGCCATTACTCTTAATAAGTATATTCATCATAATTTGCTTAACAGTTCCCTCATTGTTAACAAGTAGGTGTTTCCCTATGTTTTACTGTTACCAATAGTTTTATGCCTAAATGTTTCCTCTCCCTGTCCCCACCAGCCTTGTGAACTAGATTCTATCCTTCCTGTGAGTAAATTTTAAGAAGCAGAAGTATTGTGTTACAAGGAATACAAACATTTTATGGCCTTTGACATCTAGTTTTGTTTTTTTTTACAAGCTCAAATTTTTTATTATCTCATTCAATAAACATAAAATTAAATTTCAATAAATGGAATTAAAACTAGACGTACTTGTGTTTTACCCACTGCTTTTCAGGAACCTCATGATGGTATTCAGGCAGATGTGTAACAGCGTTTCAAAAAGCAAACGTCATCTTAAATGCACATTCTCAATGATGTCTACTTTTTTAAATGCTCTTACACATCTGCCTGAACAACATCACGGGGTTCCTGAAAAGTGGTGGGTAAAACATGAATATATCTAGTTGAGAAACCCTGTGAGTGGGTGGGCAGCGTGTTTTTTCTGCACAAAGCAATCCTGTGGCAAAACCTTCCATAATATGAAGGGTTAAATGATAGATAGTTATTGAGACCTTTCAATAGTGTCACTCAGTTGGGGACACAAAAATGCACACATTTCAATCTCTGTTTATGCCAGATTTTCAGTGCATATGTACACACACATATATACGTCCAAATATATACATCAATAAGCACAAATTTGTAGCGCAGAGAAAGATTGCCTTGAGGTTTAAAGTAGGGAAGGTTTGTTGGGATATTTAGAGAGCTATCACCTACTAATTTAGATTTTGCAAATCAGGGGCTTTATCCTGGGTGGAAGCTCTTTGACTGACAGTGGATCAGCTAAGACACTCGGTTCCCCCCCAGGTTCTCCGCGTACAGTCGGCAGCACCTCCCTGCATTACTGATGCTCTCAAGTCCCCATTCGTGAGTTGGGTACACAATTTTCAGGGTCATTTAAACACATAAACACCATTTGTAGCTCATGAGCCACTCAAAAATATGTGGTAGGTCAGATGTGGCCCGTGGACCGTAGTTTGCCAATTCTGGTCTCATCTAAATACTCAGTTTTTCGATTCAGAAACCTAAGGCCCAAGGAGAAGGAGTGACTGTCTCAAAGACACACGGTGACGTTCGTGATAGACATGGGACCAGGACCAAGCCTCCTGATTCCCAGAGCCTAGCTCCATCCACTGCCCTGAACCCGCCCAAATCACAGACCACGCAGAGCATGGAAGGGGCCTGACACTGTGCCCGCTCCAACCCTCTCGTTTGAAAAATGAGGGCTGCTCTAAAGCAATCATCTGGAACCCCTATTTCCAAGTCAGACATAGGCTTTACCTTTATCGCCCTCCTGTTCATTGGAGATTTTCTTCAGGTCGATGAAGTGGGTGGCAAGTTCTACGTCATTCATGCTGCCTTCATCCCACACCTGGATTTTCACCCTCCGACACAACGGGGGGAACATTTCCTTGAAGACCACCTGTTCATGCCACGTGGGATCGGCACAGCTCTTCTGCACTGTGGTTCGCCCCTAAAAACAACGCCAGGAGGATGTGAGCCATGGAAGGAAATGAAAGGGGCCCTTGACTGGACCCATGAAAACTCTTCAAACGAGCTGGAAATACAAAGTTAGTTGCTAAAAACAATGAACCTGCTTCTGCCTGACACTTGTGAGAATCAGTGACTCCCAGTGAGCATCACTGATGGCCTCCTCTGCGCCAGACACCGTACCGGGCATTGGGGACAAAGGCGAATACGTCATCATCCTGCCTCAGGGAGTTCTCATCATCATCCCGGGGTTGGGGTGAAACTAACACCTGTGTTATGAGCAGGAGTTGTTCCATGCACCCC